CGCGCGCGGCACCGTATCCTGCACTGTCTATGAGTTGACAACACAGACAGCTGTGCTTTGACTGTCTATATTCATAACACTGATCTACTACAAGAAAGTGTCATATCTTATAGTACTATGTTAGTTTATTTTAAGATACTGTTACATTTTATTTTAAATTGGTATATCTCATATTAGGTTGATTTATTTTGAGAGACGATTACATCCTATTCTGGTTGGTTTATTTTAGGATAGTACTGTAATAATATATCAATATCTCATATTAAATTAATTTATTTTAAGACTGTTACATAAAATTTTTGATTGATTTATTTAAGTACAGAGCGGGTAAGTAAACGTACACGTTGCCATGTCGTTCACGTTTGCAACCAAGGCAACAACTCGCTACATGGATCAGCTCATCAGCCCACGGAAAAGCGGTGCTGCCGCGTGGGCTGCTCGTGTAGTAGGCCCAGCCCATGAGTCCAGGAATCACCCAGCCGTCTCTCTCCAAAGCCTCTCAACTCCATCAGCGAGGCATCCACCAGCGAGCCCTTTCCTAATCCGACCCGCGCCGCCGCCACCTCTTCCTCCGCTGCCCAAGAGCGATGGCCGCCTCCCCCGCCGCCGGGGCCGCGGCCGCCACCGTCTCGTCGTTCGTCTCGCCGTCGTCCTTCTCCTCCGTCAAGTAATCCAGTCATCTCCGCGCGCGCGCGCGCTCGCGCTTCGTTGATTGATTCGTTGTGCTGTGGTTCTCACTCTGTTTGGGCGTGATTGTTTACAGGGCATCGAAGCCCGACCGCCTCCGTCCGGCGAGGAGGGCGGCGGCCGTCAACGTCCGATGCGTCAGCAGCCCTCCGGCCACCGAAACTTGTACCGTCCTCTCCCTTTCCCTCTCCCTCTCCCTCCTAGCAACTCATTTATGGTTGCTCCCAAACTGCTCACTGCCGCTTAGTAGGTTTTTGCTATAGTAGTTATCGTTGGAGGTGTGCAATCGAATGCAATGAGCTCGATATTGCCTCCGCTGATGCTATCACACGCAGTTTAGGAACAACCAGAAAGTTACTGATACTATCACTAGCACTGTGGTAGTAAGTTTACTGAAAGATTCAGCTTTCGTTTTGAAGCTTTCAAGACGAAAGTACCACGAAATGCCAATATGGCCAAGCTGCAAGCTGGCTATCTGTTTCCTGAGGTTTGTTTTGTTCCAACCATTTCCTCTCTCTTCTTTCCCTCCCTGTCTTCGTTGATGCTGTTTTATTGAAATTGCATGTTGATATTGGTTCTTTGCCAACTGTGGAGCAGATTGCCAGGAGAAGGGCAGCTCACCTGCTGAAGTTTCCTGATGCGAAGATTATAAGCCTTGGGATCGGTGACACTACAGAGCCCATTCCAGACGTCATAACTAATGCCATGGCAAAGGTACATCGTTGCTCTTAATATAATAAACACCGGTTGTGTAGCTTCAGATGATTTATGTTGCAGTTTGTCAAGATCGTAGTTAAATTTCTTATTGAAAAAAGAAGTTCGGCATTGCATGGCACACAGTTCTTATGGTTCAATGTAAATGATTTTGTCAGACAGGCTGTGCATCTTCCTAGGAGTAAACTAAGAAATCATCATCTTCTTTTCTTTTTTCTTTTTTTTTTGCATTTTTTGTATTATAGTTATTTTTTTTCAAATAAACATTGATCTTTGATGGGTCTATTTGTAAATGCAGAGAGCACATGCTTTATCCACAGTTGATGGTTATAGTGGTTATGGAGCTGAACAGGGTGAAAAGGTATGCTTATCACTTTACTAGCATTTTCTGCCAATACATCAGCATTCAGTTGACAAGATTGTACATAACTATTTTGCTTCATATATGATTTTAAAGTTTGTGTAGAATATTCTAGAATAATTGGAGCAGGATAGATCTTTGTGCTAATCCATGAGGTTCAGTAACACCTTATGGCATCTGCTGGTGTGGTTCATCGAATTAGTTTTTTGAACTATTAACTTCTTGCACTAATAGCTGTCACAAAGATCAAACATCTGCCACATTTTCTTGATGAGTGGATTCTTACTTTTCTTTTACTGCCCCATTCAAATATATTAGTCTTGACATTGCATACATTTCATATAGCTTCACTATCATAAGCCGTTTATGTTCATCATTCTGAAATTATACATTAATTTTCTGCACAGAAACTAAGGGCAGCTATTGCTGCAACCTACTATGCGGATCTTGGTATTGAAGAAACAGATATATTCGTCTCTGATGGTGCAAAATGTGACATTTCTCGTCTGCAGGTTCTGAAATAATCCTATCCTCCCTTTCAGTTTATCATTCATGCTATAATGTCCCTTACATTTCTTCCAATTTTCAGGTCCTTTTTGGATCTAATGTGAAGATTGCAGTTCAAGATCCATCATATCCTGTATGAAAATTCTTCACTTGATGTTAACCCTTCCTAGTGCATGATTCCATTCTTAAACTGATGTTTATGGTCATGTGCTCCTTTTTTTTCATTTCTATCATACTGCTTCTTATTACTAACTATTACTTTCACACTTGTCTGATGTGTATTCCAACATGTGTTCCATTTTTATAGGCCTATGTTGATTCAAGTGTTATCATGGGGCAAACTGGTTTATATCAGGAGGATGTTCAGAAGTATGGAAATATTGAGTACATGAAATGCAGTCCTGAAAATGGGTTTTTCCCTGATCTGTCAAGTGTTCCACGAACAGATATAATCTTCTTTTGTTCACCCAACAATCCTACTGGTGCTGCTGCATCTCGGGACCAATTAACCAAATTAGTCAAATTTGCAAAGGACAATGGATCCATTATAGTTTATGATTCTGCTTATGCCATGTACATATCAGATGACAGCCCAAAATCTATCTTTGAAATTCCTGGAGCAAAGGAGGTAGGCTTTGGGATTTAAGCCCTTCCTACCACATATGGAAATTTATGGATTTTCTGCAAATACTTAAATCCACACCTGTCATGTGTTTTCTTGTGTGTAGGTTGCCATTGAAACAGCATCTTTCTCCAAATATGCTGGATTCACTGGTGTGCGTTTGGGTTGGACTGTGGTTCCTAAGGAGCTCCTTTTCTCAGATGGGCATCCTGTTGCTAAAGATTTCAACCGCATAGTCTGCACTTGCTTCAATGGTGCATCAAACATTTCTCAAGCCGGTGGTTTAGGTTGTCTATCTCCAGAGGGTCTAAAGGTAGCGTTTCAGAGTTTCTGAAAATCTTCATGTGGCTCTTTTGGCAATGCTTCATTTCATCTCTTTGTTCCTATGCAGGCCATGAGTGACGTTGTCGGCTTCTACAAGGAAAATACTAAAATTATTGTTGACACATTTACATCACTTGGATTCAACGTCTACGGTGCCAAGAATGCTCCATATGTGTGGGTGCACTTCCCTGGCCGTAATTCTTGGGATGTCTTCGCCGAAATTCTTGAGAAGGCACATGTGGTTACTACTCCTGGTAGCGGATTTGGGCCCGGTGGTGAAGGCTTCGTAAGGGTCAGTGCATTTGGGCACAGAGAGAACATTATTGAAGCTGCGAGAAGACTGAAGCAGCTGTACAAATGAGCAGTGATCCGGCCTTTATATTCTCAACCTCTTGGGGAGCCATATCAAATAAAACCAAGCAGAGTTCGAAGACAAAATTTACTCTGTCGGGCTATCAGTAGATGTTAGAATTGAAACCTAATACTTTATAGGCAGTTGTTCTGTTCCGCTCGGTATTTATCCATTCAGAGCCATTTTACATTCTGAACTTCTCTTGTTGTTTAGCCCTGATGCACCTGAGTGAATCGCAAGCTTATTTATCTCCTTTTGCTAAGTTCGTTTCTACTACTCTGCTTAATTTGCTGCTGCCGTATAAGGCTCAGTGATATCTCCCTGGATGCATTGAAACGTTAGGCACACTTGAGTCACTGGTTGCAACAAAATTAAGAGTAGAGAACATTGCTCAGACCAATTCAGTTTTCTACTCTCGTACAGGAAGAAGGTACAGTAATACTCTATTTTACCAGACTACCAGAGTACCAGTGTAGAAAGTACTATCAAATATGAATTGTACTCAGCTACCTAGATGCGAGAGAACTCATTGGAGAATGAACTCTATTAACCGAAATCTATGAGCATGGAGAGAAGCAAATCGTTGACTTCTTCAGGTCAAGAACTTACACGATCTTAATTTACTGACCATGTGATATGATTCCCCCGAAATATCACATTTCCCAGATCTACAGCTGCAATAGTGTTCATACGGCACGCGCCAAAATCTACCGAGTTTCACAGTATCAGTATCAGGATGCAGAAATTCACAGTATCACTATCAGCATGCAGAAATTCTGCCGAAGAAATCCCACAGTGCACTTAAGTACTTAACAAAGCTCCACAACGACATATCATTTACTCTTCGTATGTACTTTGATAGAGAAATACTCTTCGTATCTATCAAACTGTAAAACTCACTAGAAAATAGCTAAATCTTCAGGGGGACGCTTCTGTGCAAACTGCAAAGACAAGTACTTATATGACATCAGAAAAGGTTGCTTACAACAAGAATTAGAGGCAGGTTAACATGACACAATTGTGAATATTGTCAACAACAGTCATTTTTCGTAATGGTGGGATGCTGACTTGAATAACAGTTACAAGAATACATCACAAACAAGTTTACATCAATCCACGAATAAAGATGACAGCTGACGAATTGATGTATTGCATCAGGCCCTCTTCAATGATTTAAACAAACAATGGATAACGATGAACGCTAGGACGAAACAGGAATATAGAAACTGAAAAGTAGGTTACAGCCAAGCACACTTTGGAGAGCTCCGAGCCTCTCATATGTGACAAACTGGATATCTTGCTACCTAACTACCACTAATAGCGAGCAGAGAGGCCGACAACCATATCCTTCTGAAGGTACCAATAAGCACATGAAAAATTCTTTTGAGTAAGACATAACCAAAACACTTGTGACAAAAGAAAAATCTAAACCATTCATTGAATATCACCGGAAGAATACTATTCATCGAATAAGAAATATGAAATTCTATAGAAATATATAGTGGTGATCAATTAACAGAGTTCCCTTCACTAACTCAATTTCTAGAAGTGTAAGACATAAATTATGCCAGCAATAAACATACCATTGTTCTCCTAAAATTTCACATTACAACATAGATATCCATCCTTTGATGTTTGATCCCAACCCAAACTCCCTTGTCAACCCAAGTCTACAAAAAGAACACCTTTTTAAGATTTTAGACCCAAAAGGATCTACAATGAACGAAATAACGCGTGGCATTGTACTCTAATTATCACTTATCACGTAGAAGTAGTCTTCATGGCCTTGAATGCTGGGTGGAGCAACCCTAGTTCATCCTTGACATCAAGTGGGTTGCTAGTCTCATTCCTGATCCTCTTCACCTTCCTGCTGCCAAGCGACTTGTGTGTAAACCCATACATTTGCAAGATCTGATTATCCCCAAAATTGAAAGCACGCTCCATCTGCTTGAGGCACCTCTCCACAGGGTAATCCCCAAACTTCCCACACGGCTTGCATCCGACAAAGTGAGTGACCAGTGGCCACCGGTGATCACCAAGTCCTGGATGGTAATTCTCAAGCATTTCCTCATACCTATCAACCAAGATACCCCAATATCCATGGAGGTAATACCCATTCTCAAGGTACACCTTGTCACCCCATTTCTCACGCTCTGTAGCAAGGATGTATACCATGGCCGACTGATCATCAGCCTCAAACACCGGCCGATCCTTCAAGTACTTGGTCAAAACCTTCCCGGCCTCAATACGGACAGGGCCCTTTGGTCCCATTGGTGCCCATGTATCAAGGAAATCAAGCGACCATTGGCAGTTGCGCAGCAAGAAGCTGCCTGTGTTGAGGCCAATCCAGTTCTTGTCGTCGTAGACCATCTCATCCCAGCCGTGCATGATGAGGTTGTAGGGGCCGTACCGCTCCCATGGCAGCTCGAATGCCATGTCGGAGAACATGGCGTCGGAGTCCATCCACCAGAGGAACTCGATCTCCGGGTGCGCGAGGAGCAGCGCGCGGAGGAGCGGGAGCTTGGCCCAGAATCCGGCCATCTCGGCGTCGAGCAGCGCCATGTTGTAGAAGATCTCGAGGCCGTGGACGCGGCAGTAGTCCATCTTGTTCTTGATGGACTTGAGGAGGTAGTGGTCGCCGACGGGGTTCTCGCACGGCTTGGGCGAGGAGCCCGTGACGAGCAGCACCCGCGGCTTGACGTCGTTGACGAAGGGCGGCGTCTCCGGGTGGCGGCGGTGCCACGCGGCCCGCTGCTCGTCCCAGTCGGAGATCTTGGGGCCCAGCGTGTAGGGCGGGTCCCGGAGCGTCCTCGGCGGCGGGTCCGGCTCGTCGTCCCGCTGGGCCGCGCGCCCGGAGGAGGACGACGAGCCGCCGCCCCTCGACAGCGCGTCGTGGTGCTCCGCCAGCGCGCGGTGCGGGTGCGAGATGAAGCGGTGGCGGAGCTCGATGAGGTCCTGCTGCGGCGTGCCGAACTTGCCCGCCCCGACGGTGCCGCGGAGCACGACGACGGTGAGCAGCAGGCACACTACGGTGAGCTTCGCGTTCCTCGCGAACCGCTGGATCTCCCGCATCCGCCGCTCCCCCACCACCCGCTCCGCCACCCACATTTTGCCCCCCTCCCTCTCCTGCCCCTTCCTCCGATCCCCCCACACCGATCAAACAAACAAATAAACAAACAAACCCTCCTCCCCCAACCCAAAAGCAGCAAATCAAAAATGCAGGCAAGGAATCACCGGTATACCGCGTCTACGGCGACGGCGGCGGCGTCGGCGGCGCGGAGTGGTGGTGGTGGTGGTGGTGGTGGAGGAAGAAGCCGAGGAGGTTTTGAACCGCGGAGTTGGAGGCGAATTAATAAGAGAAAGGGCGAGGCGGAGTGGTGCCGCGACCCGCGAGCGAGCGAAGCGCGCACGTTGGCCTCGGAGAGCGGATTGCGGTGGCTGTCTGAGCGATCGGGAGGCGGAATGGAAGGGGAAATCTGGGGAGACGCGAAATCGGAATCGAAATCGAATCAACCCCCTGACCCGGCCGCTGCAAGGAGGAGGAAGGAGGAGGAGAAGGAGAAGGCCGAAGGGGAAGGTGGTGGTGGTAAAAGGGGAGGGGAATAGCCAGCCAACGCGTTGCGAGATGCGATGCTTCTACTCCTTTCCCCGCTGTCGCCCGGTAATTTGACTTGATCCTCTCGCGTGGGCGTATGACCGGTGGGGCCACCCGCGTGGGGCCCTACGGGTTTTGTATGGTAATTTTCTCTGGCTTTTTTTTTTGCTCGGTTATAAACGGGGGGTTAATTAACCAGTGGCGGCCAGTTGTAACCAGCCCAGGGGCAAGCGACGTCGCGAGGCGATTGCACATGACGCGGTGACTTTTCTCCAACGTTTAAACACGCGTCCCCATCAACGGCCGTGCCACCACCTCGCTCAAACGAAGCGGGCTGTTCCTCCGCGTCGCTGACGGGTGGGCCATTGCGTCGACACTGACCCACCTGTCAGTGGCGTGGTACTAGTTTCGGCGATGTAGCTGCCGGAGGTGGAGTTGTCGGTTGAGGAGCTAATCACTGGTGTGTGATGGCGATGGCCATAACGATGTTTTTTTTAAAGATTAAAGTGGACATCAGGGTATGTAAGCCAAATTACTCCTCTAGAAGCCCAGTTATTATGCCTTTTCCTTTTGTTTAGTTTGGGTTGGTAAGTAGCGCCAAACAGTAGTAGTTTTATTTTTCAACCATGTAACATCACATTGGACCAGGTTTCTCTCAAATATAATGTACTACGCATGTTTACGGTTCCGAGATGGCCTTCCGTTTCGGGCTATGACGGAATAACGTTTTTCGTGAAATCCGATGAAAAACCGGTAGATTTCGACCAAATTTCGTAAACAAATATTTGAATACAAATACCTAGAGTTTACCGATAAACTTATGAAAATCGGTCGGCTTTGGTGAAATTCCGAGTGAAATCATCGAAATTTCAATTGGTAATTAGAAAAAGAGGTAACTGAAATTGTTTTCCTTTTTTAATTCGTTATTCTTTTTTTCCTACTATAAATTCCAGTAAATACACGGAACACATTAATTTTTTCAAAAAATTATATCCCAATAGGTTCTACGAATATCATACTATTTATAAGATTTTTTTCCTTTTCTATCATTCAAATAGGTCTCAGATGGTTTTTACCTTCGAGCCTCGTCGAAATCTCAAAATTTTGTGAAATGCAACCGGTTTTCGTCAAAATTGTTAACCTGGGTACTACGTGTACTACTGTACTAGTAGTACAGAGATATGGAACGCCTCGAAAACAGACTTCAACAACAGAGACGCTAGAACGAGGGGCAAGTAACCAGTAATCACTGCCACTTGAACGAATTCCGCACAGGGAGATGCAGATCCGATCTGACCCAGAGAACTCGGTGTTGGAGCGAGAGACAGACAGCTGAGAGTGCGTGAATTAGCATGTTCACGCACTGATGGATCTCTGAGCTGATTCCAAATTTCAGCACTGGTCTTCTTCATGGACCCTTGATCAGCGGCGATTATTGTAAAGCGGCCAGTACCGGTCGCCGTCAACACGGGAAGCTGGGGCCAGTGCCGCCCAAGAACTTGCACGTATCTGAAGCCAAACCAATTAATAAATTAAGCAATCAACCAAACTAAACCCATTTATTTGCCGGCCACTTGCTAGACCACGGCGTCGCCTGCATCCGCAGCGGTAAAACTACACAAAAAAGTGCCGGTGGATCCGGCGCTCTCCACTTCACTACCACCTCGGACCTTTCCAGCCGATCGATACGATACCTCCCGTGCTCCTCCTGCTCGCCAAATGCTTTCGCCTGCGTGCGCCGTATCATTCATCGCGAGCACCAAATTAAGCGCGGCAGAGGCAGCGCCAACGCGTGTGCCTTTTTTTTCCGCGGACGAGCCGGCCGTGGAATCGGCAAGCAAACATGGGCGCGTCGCGTTGATACTTGACCTCCTTTTGCCGTTTCCTTTTGGCTCGAGCTTCCTCAGGACGACGGGAAAAAGGCTGCACATTAGCATGTTCTTGATGGTTGTGAGTACTATAGGGAACATGGGCAGAAACAGGGGTCGTGCAGGCAACGCACGGCAGCAGAAGGCAGCGGTCGAACGAGAGTGAGACGTGCAGCCACGACCGGACCAGGCACCACCCAATCAACGAGCGGCGGCGACGAGTTCGCACATGGACAAGTAGCTCGCCGGGTGGGTACATAGGGCGGAAACTCTCCATACACAAGTCGGCCAGGACGACTAGTACTGTATCATGGCTATAATACTGCATCATGGCTAAAGCGTATATATAAAACTACGGAACATGTTAACCATTTTTCAACGGATAAAAAATTGGAGTATATATAGTCTACTGTGGATGTATGTGTATCAGTGTATACAGTACCCATACCGAAATGAAAAAGCCATGAAGAAAAATGAAAAAAAGAAAGTATGTTTTTCCCCATCGGACCATACAAGCAAAACGCCAAATTGGACTAGTGACTACAGATCTTTGCTGAAAACAAATAAAGATTCTTAACGAACACTAAAGATATACTAAACCAAGCACGGTGGTGACCACAAGGAACACATATATTTGTTATCAAATGCGCTAAATGGGCCCTAGTGGTCTAGCAGATCAAAGCCAATGTAGCGAGCACAAAGCATTTGGGACCACGGCCCTACGCTGCTCAACATTGCACGACCAACTGACCTGGAATCATCGAAACCACACCCCACTAAAAAATCCCCAGTAGAGGAAAACAAATCTATCTCGTCTTGATCAGTTGAGCTCCCGACTTCACGTCAAAAATGAGTGCAGATGATCTCAGCCAGCTCCCTATCAACACAAGAGAATATGCTGTTAAATCACTAGGAGTTATCATTAGCATAGTGCAGACTAGCACAGCCACAAGGTACACGCCAGCTAAAACGAACCTATCCAGCATAATACCAGGCAGAGGGACCAACCAACTGGGCTATCAGCTTAAGGAAAATGTCACATGAGAAAATATTCATGGATTTATTTTTGGACGAATTGTTATTGAAAGCAACAAGGCCATTCAATGCAGATGTATATGACAGAGAAGCCGTGAATTCAGTGATCACCGCAAAATACACAAGTCTGAACCCATACTGCTAATCAGCAATAGCGTCCACACATGACAAATGGACCAAAATGTAACAAAAATATACATTTTTACTGCAAGAATTGCTACTTCAGTAGTTTTAGGAAAATGTAAAAGATTGGGCTTCGTGCAGTCAGTTCTCACTTTCTGGAACATCCTATCACCAAAGTCTATCATCATGGTGCATTAGATGAAACTAATCGCATTTCTGATACAATATTTTACAGTTCACAGCGAACAAACAGTAAACAGAGGAAACGCACAAACATGCAAATTTGTCCTTGTTCATGAATTGCTAAGCCTACATTAAGACTTGAGGAAAATACACAGAGTGATTATTAGCGTTCAACGGAGAAAACAAATGGAGATGTTCCGCACCTGTAGGCCATTACAAAGCTTACTCTGTGGGGGCAAATAAACCATAAACATTATCATGACCTTGTGGTTGTTGTAGGGTATAACTGAACCCATGCAAATTCCTCCTTGTAGCTGACATTTTGATCGCATGATCCTTTACATGTGTACACAACAATTGTTGCCCAATCAAGAGAGTCTGGCTCATTTTTCACACCAAAGTAATAAAGCAGCTGTGGCATTATCTGCAGTACAAATTAGTGTGATATGTAAGCATGTCTGTGTGAAAAAGGGGGTGGGTGCCTGTTTGCCCCTTACTGTCGTACACCTTAGGGATGGTAGGTCTTCACTGACTAAGTAGAAGAAATAATTTGAACTGATGGGATTTGAAAGAAAATACCAAACTCAACATAAAGGCTGCAGAAGTATTTGATAATCTCATTTACAGTACTATTTTGAGCAGGGTATGAATTCCCACTAAGCCATGGTTTATTGGATACCAGCACAAGCCAGTAATAACAAAGAGCCACCGTCGGGTATATCTTGGCTCAGTCTGGCCTGGTATCACAACTGGTTAACAGGCAGTTGAGCTAGCAGCCATTAACTTTTGGGTCTTGACTCTAAAATTGATGCATTGGTGTCTGACAATATGCACAGTATGTACCCAGCGAATAATTCATACAGCAAAGATATAAGGGCAAGATATTTGGCATGAGGGAGTAGGGTTTGCAAATTTATTACTTGTGTTGCAATGTGCAACTGGATATAAGTGTATACCCACTATATTTCAGTGACGGAATTTGCCCCAGAAAAAAAAAAGACCAACCTGAAATTCATAGCATAGTGGACCTCTACAGTAGCTACATGATGGGATATCGGCATTTGATGGACAACCAGCCGATAACGCCCATAGAGGTTTGGCATTCTCTTCTCGACAGTATCTGCATAATGTAAGCAAGTTTATTCAAATTCCTGTAACATAATATTTTGAGAAAAAAATATGCAAGGGCACTAAAAAAGGCTAATTAGAACATTAACTACACAATGCTACTATTCTGACCAGGCAAAGGCTGATCAGTATACCACCAAATATAAAAAAGAATCCAAGCAACTGATGCAATCTCACCTCAATACTTGCTTTGGTGCTCTTGAGACCCGCTCTTGAAAAGACGCCCAGCATTTGTTGTCAGCATCAGCCTACAAAAATAATAGTGGTTAACAAAAACAAAGATGAACAGATAAGAAAAAAAAAAGAAAAGAGAGAGAGAGAGGATGTAGGGTTAAAACCTCAAATTGATCCATCCATGACTGCATCATATCATCTGGTTTACCAGGTCTTTGCATCACCAAGGACTTTGAGTTACTCTCATCACAACTGTCAGAATTGAAAGCACCCTCATAGTCGATTGCAATCTCATATTCTGGCCAAGATTTGCTAGCAGGAACTGCAAAGAGATGAAACTATAAAAAAGAGATATGATTCAATGTTTACAAGCTTATCAAGCACTCAAATACAATCACCTTTTCCTACAGCAGGAAAAATAGAGCTTGAAGCTTCAGAAGAACTGATTAACTGTAGGCAATCACTCTTATGGCCAGAGCGCCAGTGCAGTGTCTGACAAATAGAAAAAAAATAGTTCAACAAAGCATGCTTTAGGGCATATATAGATTAACGATTAGCGGGAAAATGACTTATAAATACCTGATGCTTCTCAGAGCAGTAGCGTGCTTTCTTGCAGCTACTACAGAGTTTATCACCTTTCCATGTACCGCACCAATGGCAGACAGGAGCTGACAGCATAGTTGAATAATTGAAAGAAATCTATATTATTTGACTATCAATTAAAACAAAGAGTTCAACCATGAAAAATGGCCACCTATTAATAAAAGTTAAAACAGTTTAACAAGGCTGAAAAAGAAAAATGTTGCCTATGAAAGCATGTCACACAAGAAAATTCAGCAACTAGCATAACACATAAATCTTACACAGGGTCTCTGCAAATGAACAGAATGATTATCTAGACCAAAAAAAAGCTGGGAAAAACAGAAGAAATGCTTATTAACTTTAGAACATAATGTAGGCAGTACCTGACATGCTGAGAAAAGTTTTTGCAACAGTAGAAAAAATAATGAGGATGAAGCTTTAAGAATTTATCACATGGAAGATTCGATCAAGTCACAAGTCATTATCAATCAGATATTTATACAACAGCTAGATAAGTGAGGACCGATGATCCATACACATAATGCAGGAAACACATCATTTTGATACTTAGAATCATTAAGAAAAAGACCAAACATGGAAAGGAATGCCAAGCTGCCATCCAAAGAAGAAAAGAAAACTACCTCCTGGACATAGTGGCTTGTCAGAATCATTGTGCTTTGGTGGTTCACTTGAGTAGAAGGCATTACTACGGGGAAGCTGGCACCGGAAAACCTTCACGCTGTAACCCACAGCAGTCAAAATCAGCACAACAATAGGCTATTAGCAAAACAGCTGTAGAACTTCAATTCACCTTCTACACGGATTGCCTTGTCTATGTTTCCACTGGTCGTGCTGGTCTCGGAGTAAGCATGCCATTGACGGGCACATGAACATGAACAAAGTGCGGTGAAATGATGCCGCATTGTCCTCAATCGGTGCATATATCTGCACAAAATTGAATCCTATTTGTGATTGATTTCACACCCAAACAACAAGTAGTCAGCTACAACTGCACTATCCACAAAGCAAACACCTGGAGGACGAACTGCAGGGGCTCGCCGCAGAAGCCGCAGCAACGCGAGTTCCCCGATGGCAAGTTCACAGGATCCAACCACGCCTGCAATACAGCAATTCACACAAACCACAACATCAACACCTGGTCGACGAATTGTACCAATTTAGCGAGTGAAGTTCATCAAAAACGCGTGCAATCCGTACGCACCGGGATGCCTCCGGCCTTGCTAGGGAACAGGTGGCGGAGGAGGAGGCCCGGGTGCTTCGGCTTCTCCAGAAAACCAAGCGTCACCTCCGCCTCTTCCTCCTCCTCCTCATCGTCGTCCTCGTAGCCCGCGCCGCCGCCTCCGCCGCCGCCGCTGGCGGGTGGGGATCGGTGGGGCAGTTCGGGCTCGTCGTCTTCCTCATCCAGCGAGGTGATGGTGAGACCACGAAGCTTCTCGGCGTTGGACTCCATCCTCGGCGGCGGCGTGGGGGCAAAAATGCGTGCGTGTTCGGCGACTCGCACTTGAGAGTCGAGACGGGGAAATGGTTTGGGCGAAAAACCCTAGCTAGCCTCCTCTCGGGAATCTCAGCCGTCCGATGCGGGGCTACAAAACGAAACCGACCGACAGACACCGACCGAGCAAAACCTTTCGCCGCGCAGCCACCTAAACCCCTCTCCTCCCCCTTCCTCTCCCGCCGCCGCCGCGCGCGCGAGCCGGCGGCCATGGCGCCCGCGGCCGCCACCATCCGCGACCTGCTCACCTCCTTCAGCCCCGCCGCGGACTTCCTCGCCCTCTCCTCTGGCGACGGCCGCATCAAGGCATGGAGCTCGAAGCTTTCCGCCCGCCCATCCTCCAAACCGCCGGGAGCTGCACGGTTACTGATGATGCCATGGGCTAACTCGATCCTTTCCACCTCCATTGCAGGTATGGGACGCCGTGCGCGGCCACCTTCAGACCGAGTTCGCTGATATCCCGCCGGTGGAGGTGGGCGGCGGCGCGCGCGCCCCCGGGGCGAAGCGCGGTCACCTCGCACTGGACTACACCTGCATGAAGTGGGTACAGCTATCGAGCAAGGTGAGCATTGCCCCCGAATTTTCGAGCTTCTACGGTTGGTGTTGTGGTACCGTGTGCCTATCGTGTGCTCGTGTTTTTGCCTTGCAGAAGAAGCGGAAGGCAGGGAGTTCGCTGCTGGTGCTTGGCACTGGCAGTGGAGATGTCCTTGCACTTGATGTCGCCGCAGGGCAGTGGAAGTGGAGGGTCACTGATTGCCACCCTGGGTACGTTTGGTGCTTCCATGGGAACTCGTGGCTTCATTTGTTAAACTATACTCCAAGCTCATTGAACCCTTGATTGTCGCTTTGAACATGTTTGGAATTTCTATGTTAATCTCCGCAAGCTTTAGCTAGATGTGTTCTCTTACATTGGAGTGCTTGTTTTTATGTGTTCAGGGGTGTCACAGCTGTAGCCTACTCGAAGCATGGGCGAAGTTTGTACACCGGAGGCACTGATGGCATGGTCTGTAGGATCAATGCCTCAGATGGCTCTGTTGTAGAGAAATTTAAATCTTCATCAAAAGCAATTTCTGCATTAGCTGTGTCACCAGGTATGCCCATGAAATTACGCCGCTGGTTTTATGTCTGGTTTCACCCCCACTGAACTCCCCATTTGCTAACTATGCATACACTACTTTACTTCCTATGTTGTGTGCCCGTTGGTCATCTGGTTTACCTATATTGATGTTTTAGGATATTAAACTGTCTTCTTTAATATTTGTCAACTGTAACTTGATTGCCCTGAGGGACACTAATAATAGTTGAAGTGTTGAGTGTTTTCTGTAACCTTTGTAATGAATAACATTTTCAACTTATTTTGCCGTGCTATTGTGTTGATGCCCCGCTGTTGGCTAATTTATGGCCTAGGAGTTCTAAGTGCCTCTTGAGATGTTCCCTTTTCACATGTAACATTAATGTTCTTCTCGAAGTAGAGATGGAAATGTAACATAGGTATACCTGTCGGACACACGAATTGAATAAAAAAAAGCCCAGAGTTCTTCCTTGAAATATGGTGTATTGATTATGCATATGGATTTAGCTTGTTGCATGAATTTGAAGCTTAAAATCTTTATTTATCAATTAATAAGATGTATGTATAGAAATATTCTCTTTGCTGATATTTGTAGTTTGCTTAGGCCTTTTAGGATCTAATATCTATATTGATTATATGTCTTGTGCTGTAACAAAACATGCGTATGAGTATGTTGCACTTACATCTAGTCTCTATCTGAACCATGTCCACCCTAGCTCAAACTTCAAAGTAACAAATACTGCTTTTGCTTCATTTTATTAGATGGGGAGATTTTAGCAACAGCTGCTGGCCAGTTGAGGACCTTTGATGCTTCTGATAACAAGAAGATTCAAAAATTCTCTGGCCATCCAGTGAGTGTCTTTGCTTCCTCGTCCTTTAAGTGTGTTCTACTTCTGAGATTGTTTATCTTTCTGCTCGTATTATTTTGTCCTAAAATGCTAACCTTCTGCTATTGGCTACCCTAAAATTAACATTTTTAGGTAGCTGTGAGGAGCATGGTTTTTAGTGGTGATAGCCAATATGTTCTGTCATCTGGAGTTGGGGAACGCTATGTTGCCATTTGGAAGTTGGGTAGTGGTAAAACTCAGAGTTCAAGCTGTATACTCTCTATGGAGCATCCAGCGATCTTTGTGGACTGTAAATGTTCAGACATTAATGATACAGAAGGAGAAATACATGTGTTGGCTATTTCTGAGATTGGTGTCTGCTACTTTTGGTCTGGGACTAATATGGATGACCTGCGTAATAAGAAGCCCACTAAAATTGCATTGTCTGATTCCTCTCTTTCAAGATCTAAGCAAGGTTTTGCAATATTTGCCGCAAAACTGCAAGGAATAGATGGCCCTAATTCTGCACATGTTCTGCTGGCTTATGGATCTGTGGTGAAACCGTCTTTTGACAAACTGTTGGTTCGTTATGGCATGGATATTAGTTTGGGTGTATCTGATGATGGAGTTCTCTTACCCATGATTCAACCCACAAAGCCTCAGAAAGGCCAATCTGCTAAAAAGCAAGGTATACTGCTGGTATCTATAGATATACACATAATCCTGCACTTCTGTTTGGTCCCTTGCCTCCATTGCAGAACGCTCAACTATTGTCAATGGTTACTCTTGGGCTAAATCTCAATTGTTTTCTTGTAGGAATTATAACGGCTCTAGACCGTGCTAATGCAGAAGATGCAATCCTTCCTCTCCCACAGCTCCATACGCAGGAAAAGAAAAGGAAACATAATGCAACAGAATCCAGTGGTGACATCCAGTCTGCACCTCATAGTGACCTTAGTTCTACAAAATTGATTGAGAAAAGAGGTAAATCATCTGTTTGTAGCATCTTCAGTAGTCATAATTCTTTTGTTCTCATGGCAGTGTAGATACGAACTGGTACATAACTGGCACAGTTAGCTAGTGGAAGTGTGGAACCACATAAGTTTGTATAGTACATATATGTGTGCTTCCGCATGTTTGGGCAAACTTCAAATAAATATACTATAACATCTTATAAGTTACAAATGAAAATTATTATTATAATCCATTCTAATAATTATATACATGAGTGCATGAGATCAATCTACCTAGCCTACGAATACGCATGCAAAATAACCTGGTCTTTTACAAAAGATCCTTCAAACAACAAACATGTTTTCGGGAGTGGGGAAATGGGTGTAGAGCACACCCATTTGCCTCCAACTCCATCTCAAAGGAAGATAAGTGACGTTATGTGTCCATATGATCTTTCTCTAGAGACTTTTAACTCTGTGGGAGCAATTTATTGCAGGGGCCTATACCCTTGTGGTTTTCATGGCAAGAATGTAACAACTGCTATGAGCAATAATTCTAGTCTCTCAGTTGTTATAGGTTTTACTATAGTTTTAACATTAAACACAAATTTTGTTATATTTAACATGTATTTCTGTTAAATTGATCTTCACTATTTGCTCAAAAACCCTTTTGCTTGTCTAGCTCCTATGCAAAGAATTGAAGATGACAGTGTATGCATCGAAGACATGATGCGGAAGTGTGGAGTTATTGATTCTAGAGTTGATCAGGGCATGGAAGGTCATCCTAGCATACCCACTAGTATTTTATCTGATCTATTTGGCAGCAGCAGTAAAATCGATGCTAATTTACCCAACAAGAAGGTTTGTGAGAACTGAATTTCAGTCAAATGTTCTGTACTTCCACCATATAACTGTTTGCATGTTTACACATTACAGTATATATACAACTGATGAAACCTGATGCATTGATATGGTTCAACAGATTCGAGCACATCTAAGATCCTTGAAGCCTGGAGATGCTTGCGAACTTTTAGAAAAATTAGTATCTTCATGGAAAACAAGGTGTCCATGACTCTTTTCCCATGTTTGTTCCCCCACAACGCATTTTCATTCGTTTTTATCCTTGTATGCTTACCAATTGCTGATTTATTCTCTACAGATCTGGTAGTGCAGAGGTTGTTTTGCGGTGGATATACTGCTTATTAATTATCCATGGTCGTTTTATCCCCTTTGAGAAATCTAAAAAAATAATTAGCGACCTTGAGAAGGTATTATATGTGTTACCAGTACTATCTCTTGTGTGCTATGCAGATTATTTGAAACATGTTACTGTTGTGGTTGTCATCATGCTGTGTTGTAGTGGAGTTGGGGGGTTAAGCTATTAGCAACTATTGCCTTAAATGACTGCAGAATGTGGATAACATATTCTGATTCTAATTTAAAGACCACCAATGCAGGCAGGGTATTTCAGAATATAGTTTCGTGACCTATTTTTCTGATAAAAGTACAAGTAACAATGATGGCAAGAACTCACCTTTGATGAGAACTTGCCAAGTCACAATCTGAGCCATTTGATCCACTCTAGTGGATGCTAATGTAGTTGTTTTCCCATGAGAGTTCTCAAGTCGTCATTGAACAATGGATTCCCATTTTAGATATCTCCTGACAACTCAAACAATGTTGTATTGACACTTCATAACATCAATTAAAAAGTCATGTGCAGTATTGAGCAAAGCACATAGAAAGTTAAAGAAATAAGCATGCTGTGTATCTAGATTGGGAAGATGTCATGCTATGCAGTGCTAGTAAATTATAGATATCTTTATTTTATGTACCATGACTGATTTGATCAAGTTGCCCCCACCAATGCTGGCCAATTTCTGTTATGTCAAATCTGGGGTTGTCAATTTGGCTGCCCAAACTTATAATAAATTTACTAAAGTATATTGCATGCCCAGTATTTACAAATGAAACACTTCCCAATTTCAACAACATGGTCAGATTTTGATCAATATTACTTGGAAAAAAACTGAGACTATAACTGTGTGTTTACTACGTCAAGAAAAAGAACTGAAAATTCAAAGGTCGAACTGAACCACCGCAACTATGAGCTTACCATGTCTTACCATGTCGAACATACAAAACAAAAAATTGAAATGAACCATTACAGCTATGTGTTTTTCTTCTTTTTTCTTCTTCGGGGAATTGCAACTATGAGTTTACCATGCGAAACAAACAAAACCAAAGTTGAAGAGATTGAAAGAAACCATTTTTCGTTTGCAGATGTGTGGGGAAAGATACAAAGCAGCTGAAGATTTACTGAAGCTTTCTGGTCGTCTTCGATTGCTCATGGCTCAGGTTTTAACCATTAATAATACTGCGTAATGAGTCAATATTCTTAGTGTATAAGTTAATGATGATTTAATGATCATGTGCGTACTTCACTTTTGTAGATCGTCAAGGATCCAAACGATGTTTCTGAGCTTCCATCAGAGGAGATGCAGGATTCAGCGGCTGCTCAGTCTGATGAAGAGGAGGAAGATGATGAAATTGATGAAACGGTGTATGGTGAAGACGCTGATTCGTCTCAAACAAGTGATGACGACGCTGAATAGAAACACTGAGACTAAGCGTAGCATTCTTATGATGTGTTGTTTTATATTCAAACTTGATTACCCCGTAGTCAGGTTTGTATGACTAAGCAACCCCGAAGGGTTGCGCAGAATTTTGACGAGGCGAAGCATCCTCTGAATTTCACCTCGGTGTTTCTCCCCTGCCTTCACCTTTTACCACAACACGGCATTAAGACCGAGCTAAAGCTCATATGCCGTGGTTAACTACTTGATGGGTTCTCTCAAGTGTTAATGCCTGCTTTTTTATCACACCAACCCAATAACTTTAGTCCAAGATTTAGATTGGTGATCACTGCATCACTTTGATCACACCAACCCAACAAGTAGTCCATGATCCAACAGATGGTGATCACAACATCACGTTGACTACAACGACCGTGTAGCCAACCCGGCGAAACTTTCTTCGCCTTCAACTAAACATTGACAAAAACGACATGCTAACTGGGGCCTCCTGACGTGTCCTTCCAACCCCCCCGGCCTAGTAAAGAGATAAACGAACCGTCGGCGCCATCCAATTTGAACCGTCGCCGGCCGGTGCTCACCAGACACCAGAGTACCAGACCCATTCAGGCCAGGGCTCACCAACCCCCCACCTTTGGCGCTACCTATTTAAACCGCTAGCTGCCACTCTCTCCGGCATCCACTCAAGCAGAGCAGAGCAGCGGCAAAGCAAGTGATCTCTTTAGCTCGGATCATCTCTGCATTTGCATTTGCAGCTGCTCGTCACGGCAATGGCATCCACCAACAGCTGGACCCACGAGATCGAGTCGCCGGTGGCCGCGCCGCGCCTGTTCCGCGCCGCCGTCATGGACTGGCACACCCTTGCCCCCAAGATCGCCTCCCACATCGTCGCCAGCGCCCACCCCGTCGACGGCGACGGCAGCGTCGGCAGCGTCAGGCAGTTCAACTTCACCTCAGGTATATATATATATATATACCGCCGTCCACTAAGCTCAATATTCCATCATCCCCGAGATGCACTTGATAGTGCGGTGGCAAGGGGTGTGTGGTTTCAACTATGACGTCCGTCCCGTGTTCAATCCCCAACACGTTCATAATTACATTCACCTGCTGTTCTTTCTGCAGCCATGCCATTCAGCCACATGAAGGAGAGGCTGGAGTTCCTGGACGTGGACAAGTGCGAGTGCAAGTCGACGCTGGTGGAGGGCGGCGGCATCGGCAAGGCGATCGAGACGGCGACGTCGCACATCAAGGTGGAGCCGGCGGCGAACGGCGGGAGCGTCGTGAAGGTGGAGTCCACGTACAAGCTCCTCCCCGGAGTGGAGGTGAAGGACGAGATCACCAAGGCTAAGGAGTCCCTCACCGGCATCTTCAAGACCGCCGAGGCCTACCTCATCGCCAACCCGGACGCTTACAACTAAATCGTCATCATGCCTATGCCCCCAAAATATGTTTGATAATATTTGATCTTTGCGAGTGTGTATGATCGAAATAAAGCTGCTTCCAAGCAGTGATTGAGAAGTGAGCAGCGAGAAGCTTGGTGTGTGGTTTGGTTGCTGTCGGAGAATGGTTTTGTTTGACATGATGCTGTCAACACCGGCTATGTTATGTATCTATCTAGCATCTACCTGTTGGTTTTGCGTGGGAATAAAAACATACTATAAAAGATAATGAGCTCGGAAGCTACTATCTGTGAACTGTGAAGTACTCTGCTTTGGAAGATATCAGCTCACTGTCTTCTGCTTCCTCATAGAAAGTTTCACTGAACATGATTACATTTCACTCCTTTTCAATGAGGATTAGATAGCATATCAGTAATCAGTCTGGTGAGGCCGTCGAAAATTGATTTTTGTATCAATAACTATTGGTTGCCACCATTTCTACCTATCATGTAGTACTACACTAGGGAGGTGGATTTTTTTCCCCCGGAGAAAGGATGTCCCTCTCATTTTAATGTTTTAATAAGATAGATAAATATGTGAGATATCAGTACATAAATATGTAAGTATAGATCATTTCCCAAACCTTAATGAAATTGGATGACCTTCCTTCAGCTGTCCCGGAAAAAAAAATCAAAGTAGAAAAATTAATAAATTTGGCTATGTAGCGTAAGTTGAATTTAAACTTACCCCTTTATATAGTGATATATCATATATTTTTCTTTCTTGTTATTTTTTTTAAAAAATATGATTTAGATGGCATGCAAATACAGACGAGAAGAAATAAACCTTCCTTACTAGTTACTACTCTATCTTTTAAAATTCTAATAGTATACTGCTGTACTAGTTACTAGTTAGAAGGAAAAATCGTTTTTCATACTGATACAAGATACAAATGATGTTTCCTTGTCGTCTAATCCATTTATTGCATTCAAATTAACTTTCAAAATTATTTTGCAGCACATTCTAAATTATTTTGCATGTCTAAATTAACCAGAGCAAATTTTATAAAAATTATGATTGTTTTGTGTGTGTTGTTGGATTTAGGGTAGTATGCTTGTTTGTTTGGCCTGCGGCCTGAGTCCGGGACATTTAACTATTTGCAATTCATAATCCCTCATGTATCTATAATATGTGAGTATAGTAACAAATTTTTAATTACCCATTCAAAAGTGACAAATAGTTAATTATTCCCATGAGTCCCTGTTGAGAGTTGTGTGCGGTGTTACCGTGTTCGAAAGCTGGAGTCCCCAACGCTTTGTATCGAACCAAACCTTACGCTTTCAGTAAAAAGCTGGGCTCTCTGGGCCTTTCTCTAAAAAAAACTATGATTGTATTTGTTAATTACCGGTTAGCACAATTTAAACAAGTCATTTAAAAATTTATAACAATAGCTGATGATTTTAGAAAACTACAACTTAATTCATTTTGTAGAACTAAATTTACCATAGTTAGTTAACGTATATTCACAATCAACTTTGTTTTTTCATTGTGATATGTAAAAGTTGGATTTTATGTTACATGTTTGTAGAGAAATATATCACATGTTAATATATCATCTCAATGTTTAAACTATTTTAAATGGCATGCAAACAACGGTAACGTTCCCTTCAGAGTTAAAATCCACTCCCCTTGGCAGCTAGTACAACTTGCAGTTTGCAAGTTCATCTCCTGCATTAAAACTAGCAAAAGTTTGAGTACGTTTCAGAAACAGAAGAAGTAAAACTCTGTCAAACCTTATCTATTAGTTTCACCATTTGTCGATCAGTAAAAACAATAATCGATTCGTAACAACCCGTACAACACGTAAATATAATTAAGTAGTACTAGTATATGCAATGTACTACGCGTACGCAAATTCTATGGAGAAAAGAATGCATTTCTATGGATTAGAGTACAGCAGAGAACGCTATAGAGATCACAGGAGTTGACGACGACAGCAACATGATGCAAACAATTACCCGCTAGCATATATATAGGCCGACGAGACGACGCACGATGGATCAGTGTATCCTCCCTGACTGCTCCTGCGGCAACAGGCCGGGGATGAACGGCACGCCGAACTTTGGGAGCCACGTCTGTCCCTGGATGAACCTCTCGACGGTGTACTTCTGCTGCGCCTGCTGGTACGTGACCGTCTTGACCCCTCTCCACTTGGCGCGCTTGCTCATGTCGGCGCCGTCGCCGCGGTTCTCCACCTCGGCGTAGTAGCAGGTGTTGAGGCCGAAGTCGCCGAGCCACGGCAGCCACCCCTGCGGGTCGATGAACCCGCCGATGTCGGACTGGATGTAGAGCGTCCGCGAGTACTCCTTCCACGGGCGGCCGAGGAACGTCTTGAACTTGGCGGCGTCGGCCTTGAAGTCCTCGTGCGGCTCGATGGTGCAGTTGTGGATCACCGTGCCGCCCGCGGAGTGCTTCTCCTTGCGCCCCTGCGCCGTCACGATGTTCTGCTGGTTGTCCATGCACCGGCGCACCTGGATCCGGCAGTTCTGGAGCACCACCTGCGCGTTGCCGAAGATGAAGTCGATGGTGCCGGTGATGGTGCAGTCGCGGTAGTACTGCCTGCTGGTGTGGGTGTAGAGCGTGTCCTGGTGCCCGTCGAACTGGCACTCGTAGAACGCCGACTGGTCGCTCTGCACGCGGAGCGCCACCGCCTGGTGGTTCTTGGACCCGGCCGTGTTCTCCACGCCGATGCCGCGCATGAAGAACCCGTTGCCGATCGCCTCCATGGTGGCCGTGTCCTTGGTGGTGATGTTGAGCATGAAGCTCTTGTTCCCCGTGATGATGGTCTTGGTGGCGCCGTCGCCGATCATCACCAGGTTCGTCACGTTGCGCGCCACCGACACGTACTCCTTGTACGTCCCGGCCTTCACGTACATCACGTACGTCCCCGTGCTCTTGACCGGCACCTTGGCCAGCGCCTCATTGATGGTCTTGAAGTCGCCGCTGCCGTCCGCCGCCACCGTCACGTCCGGCTTGAACTCCTTGGAGCCCGGGGTCGCCTCCAGCAGCCGGCGCTTCGCGTTGGACATCCACACGGGCACGCCGTCGTCGCCGAGCAGCCGGCGGCTGAATCCGGTGATGTCCAGGTTCGCCAGCGTGTCGGCGAACTGGTCCACGATGGCGAGGATGTTCTCCGTCAGCTCCTGCGAGCTCTTGAGCGCCTTGCGCATCTTCTCCGACGCCTCCGTCGACGTAGAGTTCTCGAACCCGTCGAGGCACGTCTCCTGGTACGTCAGCGCCGAGCTGAGCCACGTCTTGACGTCGTCCACGGCGCGCTTGAAGTTGCTCGTCTGGAACCCGCCGAGCTTGTCGAACGTCGTCTTGAGGTCGTCGATGGCGTAGTCGAGCAGCTCCTCGCAGTCCTTGAGCGCGTCGGACGTGCGCGGGTCGTTCTTGAGGTCGTTGAGCACGGCGGACTCCCTCACCGCCTTCTCGATCCGCTCCGACGTCGCCTTGAAGATGGCCTTGGCGAGGTCCGTCGGGTTCGTCGCGTTGCCCGCCGTCTGCTCCAGCGTGGTCTCGCACGTCTCCCGGTAGTCCACCGGCTGGCAGAACGACTTGATCGACTTCACCGACGTCGACAGCTCGCCGTCCTCCTTGGCATTGCTCGACCCGTTCTTGAACGACACCACGCACACCGCCGCCACCACCGCCACCACCAGCACGGTCGACGCGCCGATGATCGCGCCTTTGCTCATTGCAACACAATGCAACCACCAGTCGACGATTCACGCGAGATATGTATCAAATGATCGATTTTGCGCGCGCGCGCAAAGGCGTCGGGATCGATCGATGCGTCGTCCCCTACCAGCGGAAGGGGTCCGGTTTATTCGGTCTAAAAATTGGAGCAACGAGGAGGAGGAGGAGGAAGAGGAGGAGGAGGCGGCGGCGGCGGCGGCGGCGGTGGCATCTCTTATACGAGCCCGCGCTAACTTTGGACATGGCGAAAAACGACGGTGGTTGCGCATGGGCGTCGGAGGTCGCCACAGGCCGAGGTGAATGGAGAGCCACACGACGGATGCCGCCAGTTTGTTTTTGCTTTGCTCGTGGGGATTTTCTAGTTGCATGCAGGCAACCATCTGAAATTTTGTTGTGCTATCGGCTCTGAAATTTTGTTGTGCCGTACTGCCGTCGGCCACTACCAAGGGTGAAGCTCCTGGAGCTGCTATTGGTGGAGCTGCATGTAGGCGCCATGTTGAATGAAGGCCACGCCAATGTGTCCGATAATGCTTATGCACGGGTGCCCGATGAGAGAGAAAAATATCCGGCGCTCGCACGTCTCATTCCACGTCACTTGGCTCCCCACACCTCGCTCGGCTCGCCTCCTCTCCCCCGTTCGGCGCCGCCTCCTCTCCCACGAGCTCTCTCGCTTGCGCCGCCGTCTCTCCCCAGCCGACCTCACCCGCACAGTCTCCTCTCCCGTCAATCTCGCCAGCGTCGTTTTCTCCGTTGGATCTGCCGCCGCTTTTTGTCTTCCTGGACGTTGACGGCGGCTTCGTCCCCGTGGTGGCGGCCGACGCGGAGGACGACACACGTGCGGTGAGGTGATGGCGGCGGCGGTGGTGGTGTAGGCTCGCCGGCTCCCTCTCTCCCCCAGGAGCACTCTCTCCTCATCTCCGCCGCCCTCCCCCTTCTCCTCCTACAGATCCGATGATGGGAGTGGTGGAGAAGACCTACGCGAGCAAGCCTGTGTTCATCGGAGAGAAGGAAGATGCAGTCCATACTAGGTTCTGTGTGTTTTTTTTTCTGTGTTTCAAGCTAGTATACTCGTGATGTTCTTTTGTGTTTGGATCAAATGTCAGTGGATATTTCGATAGTGTTCTATATTTCTATTTTCGACACACAGGTTTTGTTGATGTTTCAATGGTTCAAAAACAATGTTTCAGTTAGTGTACTTGTGATGTTTCTTTGTGTGTGTGTATCAAATGTTTGAAGTGGATTTTAGATAGTGTTTAATATTTTCAAATACACGGGGTTTGTTTTGATGTATACAAGGTTTAAGTGTTTCAATGACTTAAATCGTTTATTGTATATATTGAATTAAATTGTTTCATCTAACTATCTCACTATGTTTCACTTTTTTTTAAGAACTGTAACATTTTTTTTCTAAGTGCTGAAACATCTATTATATAATTAAAGGAATAGAAAAAGGAGCCTCCACGTTCGCTCTCATGGCCTAGAAATTCTCACATTAATCGGAGAAAAAGAAAAAACAGAGTCCATATAGAAATACAATTTACAAATAGCTGAAATTCGGAATTAAAAATAAGGAATATTAGAAGAGGGGACTAGAGTCCATATAGAAATACAATTTACAAATAGCTGAAATTCGGAATTAAAAAATAAGGAATATTAGAAGAGGAGACTAGAGTCCATATAGAAATACAATTAGAAAATACCTGAAATTCGGAATTAAAAATAAGAAATATTAGAAGTAGAGTATAGACTCCATATAGAAATACAATTAGGAAATAACTGAAATTCGGAATTAAAAATAAGGAATATTAGAAGTAGACTATATAATCCATATAGAAATACAATTAGGAAAAAATAGAAATTCAGAATTAAATATATAATTTAAGGAATAGAAAAAGGAGCCTCCACGTTCGCTCTCATGGCCTAGAAATTCTCACATTAATCGGAGAAAAAGAAAATACAGAGTCCATATAGAAATACAATTTAAAAATAGCTGAAATTCGGAATTAAAAATAAGAAATATTAGAAGAGGAGACTAGAGTCCATATAGAAATACAATTTACAAAGAAATTTGGAATTAAATATATAATTAAAGGAATAGAAAAAGGAACCTCCAAGTTCGCTCTCATGGCCTAGAAATTCTCACATTAATCGGAGAAAAAGAAAAGACAGAGTCCATATAGAAATACAATTTAAAAATAGCTGAAATTCGGAATTAAAAAATAAGGAATATTAGAAGAGGAGACTAGAGTCCATATAGAAATACAATTTAGAAATAGTTGAAATTCAGAATTAAAAAAAGGAATATTAGAAGAGGAGACTAGAATCTGTCTATATAGAAATACAATTAGGAAATAACTGAAATTCGGAATGAAAAAAAGGAATATTAGAAGAGGAGACTAGAGTCCATATAGAAATACAATTAGGAAATAACTGAAATTCAGAATTAAAAAAAAAGAAATATTAGAAGTAGAGTATAGAGTTCATATAGAAATACAATTAGGAAATAACTGAAATTCGGAATTAAAAATAAGGAATATTAGAAGTAGAGTATAGAGTACATATAGAAATACAATTAGGAAATAATATAAATTCGGAATTAAAAATAAGGAATATTAGAAGTAAAGTATAGAGTATATATAGAAATACAATTTAGAAAAAAAAATAGAAATTCGGAATTAAAAAAATAAGGAATATTAGAAGTAGAGTATAGAGTCCATATAGGAATTTAAAACTAACTAAAATTTGGAATAAACATAATAAAATTAAAAGTAGAGTTTAGAGTCTGTATAAAAATACAATTTACAAATAACTAAAATTCAAAATTAAGAAAAACATTGGAAGAAGAATTTAAGGTCAATATAGGAATACAAATATTGGAATATAATTTAGAAGCAACTGAAATTCGAAATTAAAAATTAAAGAATATTGAAAGATGAGTTTAGAGTCCACATAGAAATACAATTAGAAATAATAAAAATTCATAAATAAAAATGAATTAAAAAAAGAAATATTAAAAGACGAGTCTAGAGTCCATATAGGAATATATATAATTTACAAATAACTAAAATTTGATATTAAAAATAATTAATAACTAACACGTATATAAAATATAATATAAATATTACACATTAGTAGTTTTGTAAAGTTATTGTAAAATTTAAAATTATGTTGTCATTTTAATATATTTGAATAATATAATGAGAAAACATATATGCTATTATATGAGAGAAAATATAATGATGCTAGCCGCGCAATCTGCGCGGGCCACTATGCTTGTTATTTTTATAAAGGGTGAAACAATGTCCAATTTTAAATCGGGCGTCCGAATTTGTAGACGGCTAGGCGCCTCCCAGTACGTTGCGTAGGATGAAACCATCGTTCAGGCCGGTTAGGAGGCAAAACGAATCGGTTTGGTAGTTGAGGGATACATATCAGACTCGTCTTATTCCATATTTTTACTAGTATGGGGTGGGAGTGGAAGAACTCGAAAGGCCCATAACTCAGGGACTAGCTAGTAGAACAAGGAGGAAAGGAGGCCACCTTTTTACTCAGCCTTACTGTTGAAGTGTCGATGAAAAACTGAAAACATAGATAAGTCCAGCAAGCAAGTGGTTAGCCTCTTAAAACGTGTCGACGATGATGTATCACGTCACGTACGTTCTCGTGCAGATCAAAAGGGGAGGCTAGCATACACGGCCTCGGCCTGTACAAGTTGTACTCTACGGAGACAGCGACCTCAGCCCTCCGAGACGCAAAATGGGACGGGTCAATTCACCCAAAAGTTGGAATACTTGGGGAAATGTCAAGGGCTGTGCTCTCTTAAAAAAAAACCATCAATAAGCTTAAAGCCAACGGATCGATTATACGTCAAGCATCACGTAAGTTTGATGGTACTTCCTCCGTTTCACAATATCATTCTAACATTATATATATATATATATATATTGATGTTAATAAATTTTAGATATAACATCAATATAAATGTGAAAAATATTAGAATTACTTATATTGTGATACGGACAGAGTAGTAACAAAGGTGAACGTCTGATTACGGCTTCCCTGCCGCATTACCAAAATGGAAGAGAGTGGCGCCAAAACACGACACCAGCTTGCTTAATTATACTACTAACTCCCAAAAGATTAAAGAAATAGAGGGAAAAAAATCGACCGGTAGATTGCCGGATTGTTATCTGACAAATCTCCCAACGGGAGATATTTTACTCCCGTGTACGGATACTTCGAGTAGCACCACCGCTGTGTGCACCTCTCAATAAACAATACCCATGACATGCAGGGAGGGAGCCGAAAGAATGTCCCAGTACTCGTACAAGAAACATCTCGACTCACTCTGTCCTTTTTTTCCCCTTTTCCAAAACGAAATCGAGAGGGGGAAACACATCCACCCGCAAGATTTTTTTCGATGGACCACCAGATGGCCTCTTTTCCAAACTGCTACAGTACTAAACTACGTCTACAAACAATCTGCCATGCACGAGATGCCCCGGCTCGCATGATCGCCCCCCCGACCGGCCATTCCGGATTCCCATCTCTCCGGAGCCAGCAAAAATCGCCGAAAAAATCCTCTGGTCCAGGCGACCCGGCAGGCCCAGCAGCAACCGCAACTTTGCTCGCCGGAAAAGGCGCCCGGCCCACCAGCCACGAGCGGGGCAATCCCACGACACCACCACACAAGCGCGATCGTGCGATCGTCCAATCCAACGGCGTCTTGTTAGCGAGCGTTGAAGGCGGCAGCGGCGTATCGTTTTCGGTCGTACGGCTGCAAAAGAGCACTCCAGAACACCTCCAGTGCACATCCATCGCCCACACGATCTTGACGCGCGCGCGCGCGCACAAAACACACAAAAATAAACGTCAATTTGCAATCGTCAAGAGTAGAGAGAGTCGCTAGAAACATCAACTGATGGCAACATCCACACGGCGTCGAGGAAAAGAAACCATTTCTAATTGCTGCAAGATGCCAAAAGATGCCAGCCCGAGAGGCAGAGATCACTAGAGACACATCAATAGTAGCACCAGTAGTGTAACAAATTGGGAATACACTGTGGGAGTAGGACAGGGACAATGACACAGGAAGGCAGAAGAGGACGCATGATGAACACATCAACAAGAGAGTGAAATTCAGGACGAAATGTCGACAAGATATTGGAATCTTTGGCCACGCACGCACCAATTCTTGGGTGACGCGGCCGGAATCGAACGGCACACCCGACCCAACCCAACCCAGCGAACTAAACGGAGTCAATCATCTGATGACCTAAAAAAAAGGGAAACAAATTCTGCCAAATTTTATTGGTTTTTCTTTCCCGTTTGCTTCCTCTCTTCTTCTGCTTGTCTCTCTTTTCATCACTTAGAGGCGTGTGCACGTCTCGTACACCGGCGCGCCGGTCACCTGCGCGACTGCGCCGGGTAGGGCGCGACGCGCGTCCTCCGTGTGCCGTCCGACGGCACGCGGCCACCGACGCCGCCGCCGCGGCTTCCGCCGTCGCCGCTGACGATGTCTTGCAGCATCTTCTGCAGGTCCTCGAGTGTGTCCGGCTTCTGCACGCGGCGAGATCACCGGTCATCGCTTAAGTATGATAACTAAGCCTTTTTTTAAAGGTGATAATTGTGGCGATTACGATACGAATTGGTAGAGAAAGTGGTTGCGTGCTCAATTGCGCCTACCTCGTTTTTCACGTTATCCATCATCACCAGCATCTCCTGCATGAAATCGGAGAAATCCTGGCCGTCGAAAAACAGGGCAGAATTTTAATAAAGAATATTATATACTAATATATTTTATTGCACTATTAGCCCCAAATTTTTTTTTAAAAAAGAATGATAATATTGGTTGCTACGCAAGAAAAAAAATAATCGAGGTTTCACCTGGTCGTCGTCGTCGAGGGGATCGAACAGCCCGGCGTCGTACATGGCTCGCTTCCCCTTGTCGGACAGAACTGCAGCAACCGCGCAAAAAAGGATTTCGTTCGATCATACACGTAGCGAGCGCAAACTGGGGGCGGCCGAGCGGGTGAGCCTTACCGGAGTACGCCTCTTGGATCCGCTGGAACCGCCGATTGGCCTCGCCGGGGTCGCTCACGCACCGGTCCGGGTGCCACTTCTGCGCGCGCAAAAAAAAGGATCCAATTCACAACACAATCCATCACCTACGCGCGCCGGCGCGGGCGCGGGCGCGGGCGCGGCCGACGGGGGAGAAGAGAGCGGAGGCGGGGGACGTACCATGGCGAGCCTCCGGTAGGCGGCGCGCACGTCGGTGGCGGACGCGTTCTTCCGGATGCCGAGCAGGGAGTAGTAGCAGCACGCGGACGCGCCGGCGCCGGCGCCACCGGAGGCATTGCCGGATCCGGCGGAGGCGTCCATGGGGGTGCGGTGGCGGGGGCGGCGAGCGAATCCGCGCGGCGAGGAGGGCGGGGCGATGCGAATTGCTACCGCGGCTGCATCGAATTGGGAGGGAGAGGGGAGAGGAGATGGGTTTGAAGGGCGCTTGGAAAAAGAAAAAAAAAGGTTATTATTCCGCGAGGAGGAGACGGATGCGTGGGAAAATATCTAAATAGAGTTTTTGGTCGTCGGGGGTTGGGGCCAGGTGAAGGTTCGAGAGCTCGTGCCGATGCGAGATATTTTCGACGCCCGTTTCGGGCTTCGCCCTCGGGGTTCGCGAGTATTTACGAGTTTGGGATTCTCTCTCGCGGCGCGTCTGCCTTCTAGAGCCGTGAATTACGCTGCGTGGGCTTTGAAGATTTGGGCTCGTCGGGGCATTAGGCCCATTTTCCCTCGGTTCAGGCCTTCAGGATAAAATTGGTTGTGGGCCTTTGCTACCAGCTGAGGCTCATTTTGAAAGAGGATATATAAAGGACTTTTTAAATTAAAAAATGGATCTTAAAGGATATTTTTTTTTCCTAAATAGTTCTTTGGAACAAAGGATTTGATACCATTGAATTTTATGAGTTTCCTTTGGAATAGGTCCAAAGTTAGCATGAAGTTCAACCTCTTGGAAAGTCTCTTTTCATCCAATTCGTATGTTTTCATTCGGTCCGTCCAAATGGTTTCCCTTATGTTTTGCTTTTTTTTTTTGTATAGGCATTCTTGCCAACATCATGTGTTTTACCATCGTTGTGTGATTGTGTCTGTGATAGCTAACAGTTACGAACACCATGATTCTTTTAAGAAAAAAAATCATGTGTTATACCATCCCTATTGTTTCAAAGAGGGTTAAATAGCTCGCAGTTCTACATAAAAGTATGGTGAAACAACTTGTAATGAAAAGCATTCCCAATAAGCATGATCAACAGGCCTGGGAAGCATGATAGAGATCTGCAAGTTAAGAGTAGTATGATAATTCAATGAGCTATGCCTGGCTAGGCATGGTTGAAAAAAAATCCTATGTGTTTGGAATGATACAGGCGGCAGGGAAAAGAGTACAACTAAGAAAATAATACGTACTGAGAGGATTAGTTCCATACTCAGTACGTACTTGTATGGAATAAATTAGCCTCAATCTCCATGTGAGGGTTTAACCGAAAGACCTTACAGTCTTTACAGTCTTACATATGCTAACCCGCGAAACAATGTCCACTTACATCCCAAGTTCAGAGTACAAGCAAAAATATCCAAATCTGAACCAGAACACTTGATTAATCCACAGAACATAAGGTGTGAGAATCTTCACAATGTGGGAAGATCACATATCCAACTCCAGAATAGATGGAACAGAATTTATATCACATCTCCTATTCACTGTTACAGTTAATTACTCCATAACCATTGTAAACTGTGAATGACATCGATATTCAATGTCAGTCATCAAACTCCCATGACCATTGCAAACAGCCCACCTTCCTCCAGCGATATTCAATGTCAGTTATCAAGTGGAGTACTTGTAGAACAATATACTTCATCCGTCCTAAAAATAAACGAATCTATAGATATGATGTGATATTTTATAATATAACAAATTTTAAGATATCTTTGTACAAATTTGTTGTACTAGAAAATATAACATCATATTTAAGATTAATTTATTTTGGGACGAAGGGAGTACACCGTTGAATATTTTCAAACCAAAATAACGAAATGCGTGAGAGTTGATAGTAAATATAGTTTGAAGCTAAGCCTCTTGCAGTGAATTGTACCAAAATTATCACAAGAAAAATTAGCCAGCCACATGGGGAACCAGCTACTCCTACAACAGTAGGAAGGATTGATACATTATTCAGGCATTAGGCTCCGGACACCTAGGATCATAATTCCTCCGAAATTGAAGAAATCCATCTCTAAACAATTAAATCGGAACAGCACAATCATCAAGTTACGCAATATTCGGACCTGCATATAGCATTCGAAGATTATTAGAAAGCAAGGGAACTATTAAGCATGGTTTGATTTTGACCGAAACATCAGAGAACCAGATGATCTTTGACAGTTTCACGGAAGTAGGCACTGCCCCGCTCAAAGGAACATTTTTTTTTTAAGATAACCGGCATCTACACCCAAAGGATGTGCACAGCTCAAAGGAACATGCATGAAAATAAATATAGAATATATAATGATCCGACCTGCCTAAGATAATTGCGATATAAAAACCTATAGAAACAGGAGAGCTAAACATAAAGATCACCTAATTAAAGTTTGGCATTAAGCAAAAGCAATTACTCAACCCCAGAATTGCCATTCAAAGAGATAAATGAAAATTCGCATCTAACCAACTAACCAAGATCTTCAGAAGCAACGCATAACTGAATCCCAAAAATCCTAAGGACCTTCTTCAGACTGAGCACCACAATCGAACCAAAGACCATCGACATGCTAGAAATAACTGAATCCCAAAATTCCCAAGGACCTTCCTCAAACTAATCAGCATAATCGAACCAAAGACCATCGACATGATAAAAACAACACAGTAGCACTACTCCCACAGTTCACCGGAGCAAATCGACAGAGGCCGGCATCTCATTCTTTATACGGGTCCCTCTGAGCTCTCTGCATTTCCAAGTTATACAACGCCTCTTGCACCAGAGCCGATTGGGCAGCAGCATCCACGGTAGCAGGAGTTTGCTGCCACATCCTATCTCTGATCTCTTCTCGCAGGCCTCTTATGAATAATGCCACGTCGAAGCAGTTGCTGGAGACTGGATCGAACAGCTTGGCATGGTACAAGCGCTCCTCGAACTGGTCTCTGTACTCGCTCACTGTCATGATCCCCTCCTGCCTCAGATCCAAGAGTGCCGTGAGCTTCTGCTTGTGATCATAGGGCCCAAATCTCTCCTCCACGGCCTCACAGAACCGACCCCAATCACGCTCATGGCGCTTCTCATAGGTCATCATCCACAGCTCAGCCATCCCCTCCATGTGCATCGAAGCCCAGGAAACCCACATCTTCATTGGCATGCCGTAGAACTCGAAGTAGCGCGTGCACTTGGTGATCCACAGGCGCGGGAACGTCCCGCTGAAAGTGGGGAACTTCAGCTTCGCCAGACGAAAGAACCCTCCCGAGTAGCCGTCGATCCTGGCGGCGCGCGACGCCGCCGCCGCCGCCTGCTCCTTCTTCACGTCCTCCACCAGCGCCGCCGCAACGGCGATCTGCTTGGACAGCTCCTCGAGGCGATGTTGGTGCCCCTCGACCACCTGGCTGAGCAAGGGCAGCGCCTTCAGCTGCTCCGCGATGCGGTCCAGCTTCGCCTCCATCTTGCCGTCGGGGAGAACCGTAGGTTGCTGCGGCCCAGAAATTTCGAGACAAATCAGGTCCGATGAGGTCGGAGGCGTCCGCGAACGAGACAAATAATTAGGTTTTCAAAGATCAAATAAACCATGAAGAAGACGAATAAATAAAGAACACTAAAAGAGAAAAAGAAAATCATGGCGCGGGTCGAGAAGGGGTGGTTGCTACGACCTCACCTTGGCCTTCGTTCGATCGTCTCGTCTCGTCGGCGTCGCCGGTTGCGCTGCAACCTGCTGCGGCGGAGCACGCGGAAGCGGTGGGCACTTCTCCATCTCCTCGGGGAGAGGCGCCAGCTTAAGATGGTGTTTGGTTGTTGGGGATAAAATGGAGCTAAATTTTAGTCCCTCTTAAAAAAATATAAGTCCCTATTATAGGGACTTATAATTTTCCCAAACAGCCCCTAAGTGCTTCCTTCTCTACTAAGCTGGGCCAAGAGAATAGGCCCATGAAGATTAGGGCTTTCTATCCTTCTACTGTACTTTTTTTTTCCAAATTAGATTTCTTTTCTGGTTTTACAGGCTTCCTATATATTTTAGGCTGCCTATATTTTAAGGGTAGAGAATTACAAAGTTGACAAATACTTATACAATTATCCTCACCAATAATGTTATTGCTAATATGTTTTGGTCTTACTTCCTTCGATAATAAATCTTTGACGTTGATGATAAATTTTGAATTGGAAATCTTATTATGTTGCGTTCGATATTTTGCACAAATTTATCAAACTAATAAAATAACTAGGGGATTTTCCCTTAAAATTTTGTGCAAGTATATATAATTGAAATATAATTATGGATACAGTATTTGTAATTTCTACTCCAGCGGTCCCTAAGTCAAGATGCATGGCCAAAAATAAGGTGTTTTAGGGGGGGTGGAGGTAGTACAATAGTAGATTTACAAAGTAAATTTGAATCATATACAACTCCTATACAACTCCTAGCACACCGGCGAGCTGGCGCCCGGCTAGTGGCCAAAACGACCCGGTGTGCTAGCGGCCAAAAATCCAATAATCTTATAAATTCAATATCTTCCCAACCGTAAATCCGTTTGACTCCGTTCAACTTCCAAAATTCCTCAAATCTCGAGATCTATCTAATGGCACGCTTAGAGGTCATTAATAGGGCTTTATTTTCGCCGTTTGTTGAGTTGTCCCATTTTGCGTGTAGTTTCGGAGCCCGAAGACCCGCAGTGCGAGGATTTCGAGGATCAAGCTCAAGATCTCGAGCGAGGCAAGCCACCTTTGAATATCTTGAGCCTATATTTGAACTTAATTATGTTGCTTGAAAAATATTATGCATTGATAGGATCACACTTAATCTGCTTGTCCCGTCTGCAAGGCAGATTGGAGGACCTACCTATTTGTTGCATTTGATCCTTCCTCTGTTAATTGTTATACCATGTTTCCTTGTAACCACCTAGTCACGCCTCGGAAATCGTGCACTCTGCACAAGTATCGACGGTCGCCTTCAAACCTAAAATCTGAGTAACTTCTTGGGTAAAACTTGGGTTTTACAAAAGACTTGGAAAACCCGACACCTGGGTCGGTGCTTGTGAACTAAATGAATTTCCAAAACCGCGGACCGGGGAACGTACCGGGTGTACGGTTTCCCGCTCTTGCACTTAAGGACCGTTTCCTTGGAATTTCATCCGAACTTAAGACAAGTACGACCACATGGGTGGAATGGGACACCCCTGGCTGAGTAACTAGCTTATCAGGGGAGCCTTGATGCCGAGAGACATGTGGATTCGCCGGGGTGGTGTCGGGGAGGACCCCCGGGCTTCCTGGCACAGTATGGTCTGGGACCTAACCTGTTGTTGGTCTGGGACCCCTCTCGTCGGCATATGGTAAACCTGTGTCGGCTTTCGAAATGCCTTGTCATGAAAGCTTGGAGGTCTCCCGACGTGGCTGATCCCCACGGGCTGGGTGATCCGGGTTAGTAATATCGTGTGGGTAAAGTGTACCCCCTCTGCGGAGGTGAACAAACTGTTCGAACAGCCGTGCCCACGGTCATGGGCGGATGTGAGGTGATTCCTAGCGTAGTTTTGTTTGACTACTGCCTTATGAAATTGCTGTTGTGGAAAGGGGATCGATGTTTGGAAAATCTGCAGCTGATGGGATCAGCTAGGCCCGGGTGGCCGTTTGAAAGTTGTTGGCCCGGGTGGCCGTTTGAAAGTTGTTGGCCGGGTGCCAACCTTGAATCAATTCAAAAGACTGATACATTGCACATACTCCGACCGGACGAGACGCATTGTCTCATCCGTGTCGTTTGAGAAGCACTCACTTAGTTGATTTCAGAAAAGAGTTCAAATAAAATCAATTGCAAAAACAACAGCCTTTCCTTGAAGCCTGCATTAAACACTTATTTCCCGTGGCTTGCAGAGTACTCCCGTACTCACCCTTGCTCTATATAAATAATCCCCCCAGTTGCTGAAGAAGATGAAGCGGATCCCGCTGACGAGGAGTTCTTCCAGGAGCAAGCCGGCTACGATGAGTTTTAGGGTTTCGGCCTAGTTCCCAAGTCGCGCCTGTCGGTGACATGGGGCCGGGGGTATCGTGACTAGAGGCTTGGGTAGCCGCGGTCACCCACGTGGCCTGACCCCCTCGGGGGGGGGGGGGTCGGGCCCGACGGTCGTGGCCACCCCTCCCTCTGTCTCCCCGAGGGGTCGGGCCGCTCCCGTTTCGGCCCCGAGGGCTGGGGTGCCCCGACCCCTTGTGGTTTTGGCGCCACGTGTGTGGGTTAGGTGAGCACAGCGGGCTCACCTAACCGCATTTATAGCAGGTTGGACGAGCGCGCCACGCCGCATTTAATGCGGCGCAGCGCACGCTTATCCGGTCCGTGACCAGTCGCGGTGTGTGACCGGTCACATACCGGTCAGATCGCGGGTTAGGTGGCAACAGGCGGCCTGTCACACGCCTCGCCCTGTCCCGTCGGAATGATGAGAGCTTCCTGGCTCTCGTCCCTAGCCGGAGCCGGCGTGCTAACTCCTGGAGTTGGTATGTCAGTCCCGGTCAGATCCATTCCAGGCTTCAGCGCAAGTATGGCAAGGAAGTCGCTGGCCATTAAATGAAGGTTGAAATGGGCGTCCACCGAAAAAGGGGCGAGCAGAGCAGGAGACGTGCGCTCTGCTTGTCAGAGGTCACTTCCGGCTGTAGACTAGCCCTCATTGTAAAAGCATGTTTCCTTTCTTAGGTGGCGAGAGGCCCTTGTGGTGACCCTTGACCAGAAAAAAAGGAGGCCCAGGCCTAGGAAGAAAAGGGAGAGGAAAAAAAGAGGAGAAGAGAGGGGGCGAACGGGGCTAGAGCCTGAACTCTCTCTCGCTCTCCGGCTCTCTGTATTCCTTCACTCACAGATCCACCAGAACACAGGAGTAGGGTGTTACGCTTCTCAGCGGCCCGAACCTGTCTACGTCGCCCGTGTCTTGCGCATTTCTTCTCTCGCTGACGTTCCTCAGATCGAGGGCGAAGAACCTCACTTAGCGCCCCCGGCCGAACCGGTAAAGGGGGGCCTGCGCGGTCTCCTGGTGAGGAGCCCCACGCTCCGTCAGCGCCTGTGATGTTTGGTCCAAGTCTTGGCTTCCGCTTCCCTTTTGTAATGCAGTTGTGAGCTCGGGATCTGTCCGCAGCCCAACATGACTGTACTCCTACTCTATAATAAACAAACCTCTATTGCTGTGATATTCTGTCTTCCTGTGATACCAGCACTGTTTCCTGGGACCGGTATCGATTAACAGGTTAATTTGGAGCGTCACGGGCTAGTTCCGGTCGGGACTAGTTCGGGGCGTGACAATACGACATATAAAAATTGTTAATAAAACACCAAATAGAATCCTAATGACGATTAAAATGAGGGACGACGGGCAGGCCGTAAAGCAAACGGGCAAGGCGGTTGCCGGGACTTCTAGAAAGTAAAAAAATAAACCCCATTGATAATCATATTTGATTTTTAAAATCTCAATGACAATAAAAAGGAGAAGTAGCGGGCGGGGTGAATAGGAGTATAGTTGCAGAGCCGCCGATGGTTGGCGGGACTTCTAGAAAATAAAAAATGAATTCCAACGATAGTTATGTTCGATTTCCAATGAAGAGGTCGTAGAAGAGTATAATGGCAGCGTTTGACAGGACTTCTACAAATTATAAAAACGAAACCCAATGAGACAATAAACTCTAAAAACTATAAGATCCAAGTTTTAAAGGTTGCAAGGAGAATAAATAGAAATAGTGGTAGATCGAGTAAGAAAAAAAAGAAGGATATGACAGAAGTAAGGGGTAGCAGCTGGTGTGACTTTTAAAAACTATATAATTAGAAATACAAGGATAATAAGGTTTGGTCTTTCAAAGTTTTAAAATAACGAGATAGTTTTTAATAAATTTTAAGTAAAATCATATTGAAAAATATATGATTTCGTTTGGGTGCTAGCCGCGCAATTACGCGGGCCACCAGCTAGTTTATTTAGATGTTCACGTTTGCATCTCGCAAATGCTGCCGTATCAACCACGTGGTGACGACTGACGAGGGCGGGCTAGCTTTCCAGTGGGCCACAACTGGGTTGGGAAATGAGTTCCATCCCGAATTTGGTTTAATGGACGGTGAGGGTTAGGCTGGGCTGGATTAGCTAAAGCTAAAGGGAGTTTGACTGGGCCAACAATTTTGTTTCAGTTTCTTGGTCACCGATATCGCCATTGGCTCAACCCGCATTGCCCTCGACGACTTTTGCGACATGCCATCGCGAAAAACCCTAAAACCAGTTCCGATCTTAAGATTCTGATACAGGCATGGAATCCATGCCATGGATTGAGAGGCTGGTCACAAATCACCACGAAGAAAAGGGGAAGGGGCTTTTTGGGCAAACGTGCTCCTATTCTGACGGCAGTAGTCGGCGAGTGCGGAGAAGACGACGACGACGATGCCTGTTTGGATGAGGACGAGGCAAATTCTGTGTGGCTCCGAGTAGAAGCAGTGGATCACCAAATGAGGCCCAGCCCTCAAGCACACGTTTATCAACCAAGTGATATTTGACAACCCCTTGACCAAATTAAAAAGGCCCATTAAAGTTTTCCGTATAAACAACATTTTCCGCCGTCAAGTTTTCAATGATTGAAGGAAAGCAGAAGCACAACGAGCCCGGAAGGAGTATATTTTTCAGAGAACACAAATCAGTAAGATGCTCAGGATTTCGCATCTACGTTTTCAGGAAAAACAAAGCATCTCGCCATGCAGTTTTTCTTTAGCTGAAAGGCAAGACCAGCTAATTGCCAAGTAGAATCGTGCTACTCCTGCATGTTTTTTTCTTTTGGTTGTTTGGCAATCTAGGAGACCGGAGCTGCTGCCTCCCCAATGCCAAAGGATATGTACCTACCTTTGCACCCAAGAACTCACCATGTGCACGCACACCCTGTTGCTTTATTCCTGGGCATACCACTGCTGATCTCAACGAGTGCTCTGCCAGCCTCTGCTTTTCATTTCTCCCTCAGCCCAATCATCAATTAGATGAACAGAATATGAAATTATATGCTAGTACTCCTACTAATTAAGTGAGCTTTGCAAATTGCCTTGCGTAAAGTCAAGGGATCATTTGCAGAGTTGAACAGCTCAAAACCTCGCCTCAAGGTCAAGGGTCCTCAGGACCTCAAGGACCATGTAAATGGATGAGCTCCTGCGTGAAACCAATCAGGGCCACCACATGGAAGGTTGTTGGATTCAGACATTCAGTTGGTGCAATGAACTGAAAGTCTGAAACTCTGTCCGAGCCGATGCCAATTACTAGTAATCCTATCAGTTGTCATTGCCAATTAGGAGTAGTTAGTGCTGCCATCATCATGGCCTTATGATCAAAACGGACCGGATAAGGCTGTATACTTAGAAGCATCATGATCGTAGGCCTACCAAAAAAATTCTGCTTGCACATATTACAAGCGGAAATATTTGGGGGTTTCGATCGTAGAAAAGACAAGGCCCTGTCAAAAAAAATCGTTCGTGGCAGCTTTGCAACCCTAGAGCGACAGGTAATGGCGTTGTCGAAGCCAGCTGTAGTGCAGATTGCAGAAGCCTACTGTCTTTGAATTCTCCATCCTTTTTTTCTCTTCTTCTATGATTCTATCCGTAGCACAATTCAATGCCCCCGTAGATACAAGTATACAACACGGAAAGACAATCTAGCACGTCGCAGCAGAGAGAGAGAGGAATCAATCAATGAACAAAAAGCTCACCCTGTGGACACGTGTCGGGCTCTGGAGGCCCCCAAGCGTCCGCGTCACCAATCTCGAGGCGGCCACCGCGGAGCCCATGCTTACAGCCTGGCACCGGTAGTGACGCCAGCCACCAGCGCAGCGCGCGCCGCTCGCTCGCTCTGCGGCGCAATCTGTGACCCCACCTGGCAGTGACACGGCGCCTCCGCGAAACGCAACGGCTAAAACGTGGAAGGCCGCGGCGGCGTCGCGCGCGCGCGCACGTTGGGACGTCGGGGAGGGAAGCGGCCAAGGCCAAAGACGTCGTCGTGGGCAGCAGCTGGTGAAAAAAAAAATGGCCTTCAAAATTCGAAGCGGCGACGTTATCGCTCTCTCGTCGTGAGCGGGGCGTCGTCGGCTCCGGTGGATAGTCAACGGTCGACGCGAGGATAGTTCAGGAGCGGATAATAGTTAAGAAATCGTTGAGATTTTACCGGCGTTTTTTCTCCCAGAGATGGTTGCAAACGCAGTTGATTTATTAGGACTTTAGGTATATATATGTAAGCTTTTCCTTTTTCTCGCGACATGTGGCCTTGTTTCTGTTGGCCGATCGTGATCAGCGTGCACTTACCTTAGGAACGGGTTTTTGATTTTGGGATTAAAAATGTCCTTGATCAGTACTACACATGTTCTCACCTTTTTAGTTCTCATTTCTGCACGAGTTAAGGATAGTCAAGATGGTTACGATCGCAAGGTGAGTGGATCAACCACACTCTCTGTCATGTTAACATCTTGCTCTCTCTCTCTTTTATTTACTGTCAAGGCGCCGTTTACTTTGTAGGGGTCGTACTGTTCATATTTTTCCTTTCGTGCATTTGACGACGACTTCTCAGCAATAACTCGCTGCCTGAACGTGTAGTGTTAATCATGTTACTCGCCTACAAATGGAACCGGAACTCTGGAAGAGAAAAAAAGAAGTATTTGCGAGAAAGAAGAGTAGCTGGAAATTTGATACGGTCGTTTTAGGGTTGAATTGATATCAGATCCTAAATTCTCTCTCCAAACCCCATACTAATTCGGCAGGATATCTTTCACGATAAGTACTTTCCTGATTCATCTCCTTATCTCAATTAAACGATAAATATCTCAAAGAAAACGTGTTGAGCGGAACCAGATTAAACCGAAATTCACAACAACTCCCAAATGTCGCGCGAAATATACTCCATTTTTTCTTGTTAGTACGGAACAAAAACAAACACGAAACTGGAGCTGACTGAGCTAAAGAGCAGTAAAAGAAGCGATCCGCTTGACGGTGACTATTACGGCCGCTGCCGCCCAGAGGCACCACCTCACCTCTCCCCTTCCACTTCGCTAGCCCGCTTGGCTTCTCAGAGCCTGGAGGAAAAAAGGAAGGTGGGAGAGGCAGCAGAGGCGAGGCGAGGGAGCGAGCGAGCGAGCGCCCGAATCCCCAAAATCGCAGCGCGAGAATAAACAAAACCGAAGCGGCAGCGGGAGCAGCAGCATCGGCGGATACAATAAGCAAGGGGAGCAGCAGCCACGGGCAGGAGAGGAGAGTGCGCAGGCGTGCGGGAGGGAGGAGGGGGGAAGAAGAAAATCGCCTGCCTGCCGCCGCGGTGGTGGGTTGGTGGGTGCCGCCTCCTCCTGCTGCTGCTGCTGTTCCCCCATTACCTCGCCCCGCTTCGCATGGATTCCCCCTCGCTTCTCCCCCACTCCACCCGCCGATCCACCGGCCGGGGCAGCGCGAGGCGATGCAATTGAGGTGAGGTGAGACCGCCGCTTCTTCCGTCGTCGTCGCGTGGGTTTTTTTTTTCTCTCTTTGGTGCTGGGGGATACAACAACCTGGCGGCCGCGCTGCCGCTGGACGACGCCATCGCGCGCCTGCACGGCGTCTTGGGGTGGACGAGGCCCAGCAGCCGCGGCGGCGGCGGTGGGAGGAAGAGGTGGCCGCGCGGGGGAAAGGGGAGCGCCATGCTGTGGGCGGCGCGGGTGTCCGGGTTCTTCTCCGCCGCCATGGTGATGGTGGTGCTGTCCCCGTCGCTGCAGTCCTTCCCGCCCGCCGAGGCCATCCGGTCGTCGCAGTTTGACAGCCACGTCCGCTTCCCTGGCCAGATCGCGGGGGGCGCCAGGGGCCTCGCCTTCCGTCGCGCCCCCGCGTTCCGCAATGCCGCTGACTGCGGCAACGCCACCGGCAATGTCTGCGACCCATCGCTCGTCCACATCGCGATTACGCTGGACGAGGAGTACCTCAGGGGCTCCGTCGCCGCGGTCCACTCCGTCGTGCAGCACGCCACGTGCCCCGAGAGCGTCTTCTTCCACTTCCTCGTCTCCGACCCGGCGCTCGGCGACCTCGTCCGCGCCGTGTTCCCGCAGCTCCAGTTCAAGGTCTACTACTTCGACCCCGACCGCGTCCGCGGCCTCATCTCCACGTCGGTGAGGCAGGCCCTGGAGCAGCCGCTCAACTACGCCCGCAACTATCTGGCCGATCTCCTCGAGCCCTGCGTGCGCCGGGTCATCTACCTCGACTCCGACCTCGTCGTCGTCGACGATGTCGCCAAGCTCTGGCGCACCGACCTCGGCGGCCGCACCGTCGGCGCGCCGGAGTACTGCCACGCGAACTTCACCAAGTACTTCACCGACAGGTTCTGGTCGGACAAGCAGTTCGCCGGGACGTTCGCGGGGCGCCGGCCGTGCTACTTCAACACGGGCGTCATGGTGCTCGACCTCGCCAGGTGGCGGCGGACGGGCTACACGCGGCGCATCGAGCGGTGGATGGAGATACAGAAGTCGCCGGCGGGGCGCATCTACGAGCTCGGGTCGTTGCCGCCCTTCCTGCTGGTGTTCGCGGGGCACGTGGCGCCGATCGAGCACCGGTGGAACCAGCACGGCCTCGGCGGCGACAACGTGTTCGGCAGCTGCCGCGACCTCCACCCGGGGCCGGTGAGCCTGCTGCATTGGTCCGGATCCGGCAAGCCGTGGGCGCGGCTCGGCGCCGGGCGGCCGTGCCCGCTCGACGCGCTCTGGGCGCCGTTCGACCTGTACGGCCCGGCCGACTCCGCCGCGGAAGGGTCCCGGTAACCGCAACACTAAAGATGATTCTTTTCCTTCTTTCGCCGACCCCGTACAAATTTCTGAGTTCTCAATTCTTCTCCACCATTACCTGTTCAAACACCTACATGTTTATTTTTTCTTCATTTCTTCTTTCTTTTGTTCTGTTCGATTAAATGCCTTGTGTTAGATTGTTCTTGTTGGTATTAGTGATCTCTTCTTCCACTTTTTTTGATCGTTTTGTTACTAAAAAAAGAGGTCATTTGTATCCTACTCTACAGGTTTGGAAGGCTTGCAGCCTCAGCATCATCATAAATAAAAAGCACAGAAAAATAGACATTGCAGCAGCATGTGTTCTTCTTCAGTCGCTCCTCTTTCTCCCCTCTCAATCTGTTTGTTGGCTTCAGCTTCAGCTTCACTCTCGCAATTGATCCACCCATCCATCACCAAGAAGGGTCAGCCGATCCAATGCAGCACCGCACACCATCACTGCCGCCATTGACAGGTTTTACACTAACAAAGTCTAAGTCGCAAAGACGATCCTAAATCGCAATCGCGGACAAGAGTAACTTGGAATCCACGTCTTTGTGGCCGTGCACGAACTGACACTAACAAGCATTTCGACATTAAGCACTTGCAGGTGATAATTATAGAGGGGGGCGTTGCCGTTAAGCTCTCGAGGATTAAAGGGGAGGAGGGGAGAGACGGAGATAGATGGCCGGTGGGGGCGGCCAACACGGGACCTGTGAGCTACCGCCCAAGATCATTTCTTTTTCTGGGGTCCTTTCCGGCGGGGCCTCACCACTTCGGCACACTCACACACCCTCTCTCGCCGCTTTATTCTTTTGCAAAATCATTATTGTGCTCCTCCTCTCACATTGCCAATGCCATATGCCATCAAAGATTTCTTTTCTTTAATGTTCTTTTCTCCTCCTTTTCTTTTCGCACAAACAAAACACCCCCTCAGGCTCATCTCACCTCATCTTCACCACAACTCTATAGTAGAGGCGTCAAGAACCTTTTGTTTTTTTTTTATTGATCATCTCACTTTCCTTGCCAGCTCGCACTTAGCATCGACTTGTCGCCCTCCGCTAAATGCGTCCAACCAAAAAATATAAATATATATCTCCCCCCGCGACCGCGAGGCTGCGAAGATTGTAGAAGAAACATTTCGTGTCATTTGGTACATGGAATCGTCCTCGTCGCTGGCAGGTGGGGCCATGGTGAAGGGCACGTCCCAGCTCGGCGCGCCCGCCACACGCGTCGGTCTCCGCCCGTGCCAGGCCGCGGGCGAGCCGGGCCGGGCGCGGGTGTGGCTCGCGCGAAAGTGATGGTCTAACCGACGGGGTTCTTTTCTGACTTTACCCGTGGCTTAATCGCCTGCTTGGATTCTTGCTGTGCTTGGAGTTGGAATTGGAGTCTGTTCGTAAATCGGATTCGCTGTGATGAATCTACTCCGTTGCGTGCCTTGCGATCGAGGTGTTGTGCCGTATAAATGTTTTTTTCTTTCCTTTGGTGGGGGTTCTGACAGGTACGTGCTTCTGCTGCTGATTACTACTCGATTTTATTCGTAAAGCTAAAGCTAATCAGCACCTGATTGACTAGTTGTGTGTGTGTGTGTTTTCGTACTAGAGAGTCCGTCGCGCCTAATGTCCTTGTCGTTCCATTCATGCTCTTCAATCAAGCTCATTCTTAATTGCAGACGATGCTGATTTCTGTTGGTAGTAATATTGTTAGAGAAGAGGGGAGCCGTATTTCTTTCTTTGTTTCTGTCTTTTGTACACTTTAGGTTAACAATGCCAGTTGCTGTATTGTAGTATCATCACCGAAAAAGCCACACCACCTTTATGCCGTACCTCCGGCGAAACTGTGTCTCTTTCTCCTCTCGGTAGAAAAAGGCCCTCAACAAAATGTTGTGTCCTTTCCGCGGAAACCCTAAAAATGTACTACTGCGCAGTACAGAATACCGGTGCTGTCTTTCTCCTGACCCCTGTGGACTGTGGAGTGCCGTATTGTGATACGCTATTGCTCGCCCACGATGGACGACGGAACGGATGGAGACGGCCATGGAGGGGGCGGCCGCCCTTGATTGAGAGCGAACTGCGCGCCGTGGTCCTCTCGCTAGTAGTCTCTCCTCGCCGCCTGATGCCATTGGCATTGGCATGTCACGCGGCGGCAGCTCACATCATGGGACGCGCGGTCTTCTCTCCCGCCTCGTTCCCCGTCGGTTGGCATGTCCGCGTCGCCGTGCCCGGTCGCCTCCGCGACCGCGAGTGAAAAGGAGGTTCACGATCTAGTAGTTTTTGTTGCCGCTGCCGCCGAAGCGTAATACTCCAACGTGATGCGTCGTGACGCGCGTGCTGGTAGTGGTAGGTAGGTGCGCGCGCGCGCGGCCGCCGTGCCGTTTGTTTCTGTCGTCGAGGAGGCCGCGGCGGCGCGGCCGGCTCGGTGAGGGGTGTTCGGTTTTTTGCCTAGATTTTACCATCATTTAGCATGATGTGCAGTTGCATCAACGTATGGACGGAAGGACCTGGACCACGGGGGAAGTATGACCTTTGGAGTTTGGATAGTTGACCCTTCTTCATTAGCCGGGCTAGGTTGGTTGCCCACAAGAGAGGGATTCCAAAATGTGGGGATAGGAACACATGCTGTTGCGTTGGGTGGATCTGCCAGGAAAGAACGGTCGATGCTGTTTCAGGGTTCGCGCGCGGTAGCCATGTTCCGTGGCTGGGGGGTACATTCCTGTTTATCGATCTGTGGCTGTTAAAGATTTTCCATCCTGGGCTGCTTGGTCGCTTTGGATCGAATGTCGCTGCTGAATTATGCCTGGAGGTGTACGGTGAACAATGGCAAGGACATTCCCAACTATTGTAAAACGTGCAATCATGCTGCCTATAGGTCGGGTGACGAGGCATGCAGCAATATGTTTGGGTAAATTCCAGCGTATTCCCTGTGCAATATTGCAACGTAATCCGCATGCTTTGCTTGTCCTTGCCGTCCATCAGCCATCCATTCTTTTGCTCCAAAAAAGGTCGAATATATTGCCATCATAGATGCAACAGGCACCTTCCATGCTCCAATGATTCCATCCAAGGCTTATCATCACCCTCGTCCTTAGCAATGGTCGCCATTTGTAATTCACCCAAATCTGTGATTGCAATCTAATGGAGAGAAAATCTCTTGTTCATATCAAAGGTATCATCAATCCGCCCCCACGCATTAGCATACCGCCATTCATGTCCCGTTTATGCCATGGACCGCTGATAAGAAGGACGTAGATACATCCAGGACAAGTTAGGTTAGGCCCCTGCTACATGATCTGCATTGCACGTATGCGGATAAGGCTGGAACATTTTGGTGTACCTGCTCTCCACAGAACTAAACATGACAAAGCCAGAACTCTTATCTAGGTCTCCCTACCAACCATCACTGGAATTTTGTTAGCGAGTACAAACCGAAAAGAAAAAAAATCTTAAATCGTTTATTATACTATAGATATTAGCCTGTGTTCTATGAAATTTATGACATTATGTGATACAAATGAGCCTGAAATATTGGTGAGCTTGTCAGAGCAGGTAATAGCAGGTTATAAGCCATCTATAAATATATTTTAAAGAGATAAATAAAGAGAGAGAAGAGCAGCGGGCTACAGATTTGTAGCCAGCTGCAGCACAGACTCCAAACGTAATGTGTATATGACAGGTGGGACCAGATATTAATAGTATAGTAAGCAACTATTGTATGAATTGGCTATTACATTGGCTATAGATGATTTAGAGCTAGTAGTGAGCTGTAATATTGACCTTGCTCTTAGAGCAAGTTTAATAGTATAGCTCACTGCTTATTATTAGTCAATGTTAAAGCTAACATGTATAGTAGGTTGGCTATAAGATCATTTTTATTTTCTTCATCCTCTCTCTTTCTCTCAGTATGAATTTAATGCATATTTCTTGTAGCTTGTGTATAGTGAGCTCTTACATGAGAGCCAATACACCCTACTTTTGTTTATCTCTCTCTTCCACATAAGCATATAGCTTGCTTATAGCCCACTATTATCTTGCTCTTATACGTGGTCGTCCCTACGTACTCTGCCTCGGGAAGGGGGGCTCCTACTCCAAGTCACTTGCAGTGGCAGCAGGAGTCCTCCAGGGTTCCAGGCTGTGAAGCCAGCTTATCCAAGGCTGTATCGCTTTGCCGCCGCGGTCTCCGCCATCTTCCACTGCGCTGCCGCTTGCACATGCAAATATGCAATGCAATGCAACGTCTCTTATCCTAATCGCTTTGATTGCCTCACACTCCCCTAATCCCCTTCGTAAATCCCAATCCTTCCCCAAATGCAAGTGGATATTGGCTTAATTCCTACGTGTCTCAAATGTCAATACTATACACTAAAGCATTCTCTCGAGCCAAGGGGGACCCTTTGGCCGCTTTGGACTAACTGCAGGGGACCATGACACACATACGACCCTGCAGTATGGTCGTGTATATCCTAGCCGAAAATGGTTGGTATGTGACAAACTATACAGGATCAGAGAGGATGAGAATTGCGTGTTGCAAGATTTGACAGATATTTCTGGAAGAACAAATGGATCAAAGGCCACCTACTCACCTGATAACGGCTTAATTAGTCCATGGGGATCGAACTCATACGCCTGGCAGCTGCAAGAGAACAGTAGTAGGGTCCATGTATCGACTCTATCATCTCTGTGTTGATGCTGAGATTGCTGGATTGCAGTTGAAGGGGACCCATTTCCTCTCGCTGTCCATTTCTTTTGTGTACGGCTATATCACCATCTGCATCTATCGCGACCGTCGATGATGAGATCATCGGCTGCGAGTTGTAAATGGACCCAGAACTGTTGATCGCTAAACAGGACGACGTGTGTGTATCCACCAGGGTTTACAATCTCGTTTGGCGATTGAAATGTGAGCCCTAGCAAGTTGACGAGTCTTGTGAAATATTTGAGCAAAAATTAAGAATTTCAATGTAAGTTGAAAAGAAACAAAATGTGAATATAAATTTTCAGCGACTGTGAATCAAGTAATCAGGTATGAAATTCGATTAAAATCCTAGAAATTTGGAAGTATTAGTTAGAAAAAAATAAACATGAGGCGATAAACGAGGGGATCAATAGCCCAAATTAAATTCAATTATGTTTTCCTACAAACAGACATATCGCCCAAAAAATGTGAGAAAAAAAATTAGAAAATGCAGGAGAAATGAGGAGAACTTTAAAATATGTGGCAAAAATATAGTACAAAATTAGGAAAAGGGATGGGGAAAGGTGGAAAATTATGGGAATGCGTAGAGAAATGTAGAAAAATATTAAACCAAATATTACCAGTTCCAAAGTATAAGGAATTTTACATAAACAACTACTTTTTGATGAAGGTAGTATCATTTTTTGGGGGTGGTTGGTAGTATCATTTTTTTTATTGAACTGATTTAATTCCACTTGATATCAAACTGTTTATAGGATTTAAAAAAACATATTTCTCATTTTTCGAAAGGGTAGATTTACCGTCCTTGATAATGTACCGAGAAGTACCACATTTTCTAGTGTAAAATTTGGTACCTCTAGCTACTAAGTATCATATGTACCAAAATTTCTAGTGTAAAATCTTGTTATCTCTAAGTACTAAGTATCTTATCTTAATGTATCCGAATTTCTAGTGTAAAATATTAATACCTTTAGATATTTTCTCAAGAACTGTAAAATTTCTCTATTTGAAATGGCCGTAGTCCATTCGAAATTCTAGCGAAATGTTGTTTCTATGTGGATCGAGAAGTTCATTTTTGCGAAATGTGAGAAAAGTTTCAGCAAAATTACAAACTCTTATAGCATCTCCAACAACATCTCCAAATCTCACTCTCCAAATATGCATTTAGCCACCTTGACAAAAATTTGGATAGTCAAATCTGCCTTTCACTCCAACAGCCTCTCTATTACAGTTCTCCACTGTAACTGTGGGTCCCACGTGTCAGTTTTTTCACCCTTCTTCTCCACCCCCCTCTCTCTCTCTCTCTCTCTTCTTCTTCTTGTTCTTCTTCTTCTTCTTCTTCTCCTCTCATCTCCGCCGGCTGAACCCGTGCGGTGGCGGAGGTGCTGTGGAGCCCGCGTGGCGGAGAAGGGAAGGCGGCAGCGAGGGAGGCGGTCTGCCGGCGGGAGCGGCGCACGCGTCGGAGGCGTTGTGGAGCCGCGCGTGGTGGAGAAGGGAAGGCGGCGAGGGGGGCGGTCGGCCAGCGAAGGCGCTGTGGAGCCTATGCGGCGGAGATGGGAAGGCGGCGGCGAGGGAGACGGTCGGCCGGCGGGAGCGGCTGTGTGGCGATGGGAAGGCAGCGACGAGGGAGGCGGTCGGCCGGCGGGTGCGGCGCATGCAGCGATGGGAAGGTAGCAGCGAGGGAGGTGGTCGGCTGGCGGGAACGGCGCTTGCGCGGAGGCCGATGGCAACGACGAGGGAGGTGGTCGGCCGACGGGAGCGGCGCTTGCGGCAGAGGCCGGTGGCAATGACGGCGCGGCGGAGGAACGGTGTTGGCGGCGCGCAGAAGGGCGGCACGCTTGAGGAGAGGCGGACGGAGTGAGAAATGGGTGGGCCCATGCGTGGGGCCCATGATTAGCAAGGCAATTTTGGCTGGCCATCTTTGGCCAATGAGGGGAGCCGACCATTATATTGAAGACCGAGTGAGCCGACCAAGGCAGTCTTAAAGAAATAGGAGTACTAATTAGGGCGTATGGTTTAAGTTGAGGCGTTCCTTTCACCATTTCATACTCGTGATAACATTGCTGGCCATAGCAGGGGTTTTCCTGAGCAAGATTCGTACAGCTGATCGCTCTCTCACTTACTAGAAAAATAGAGAAAAATAAAAAGGTGACGCGCGATGTCATGGCACATCTGTGCAAGCGATCAAGTTAATATTACCGAGCAATCACAGGCAGGTTGTCGACGCCGACGCCGACGGGCCAGGCCCGGCCACCTACTTCGTTTTGTAGCAACCAAGCGAAGTGTTTAAGCCTTTTTGTCACGCAATGCAGTCTCGACGACACAGCTGCGACGTTCGTGTCACGGCTCACCGCGCCCCTCGCTAAATTGTTGTTGAGCGTCACATGAAGCCGGCAGGGCCGGCCGGTGGTGAATGCTTGGAGGCACTCACGAGCCATGCAGAAGCCAACATTTTGCGTACGCTAACCCATCATTACCAACATGTACGTTGTACAGCTAGTCAGGAGTCAGCCACTAGCTACTCCTGTGCATATATATAGTAGGAAAAAGTATACTAGCTGGGAACAAACCTTAATAAAACTGCGTGATCGGTGACCGATCAACCGACAGCGTGACAGCGCCATCCCGACTGATGAAGAGCGCGGAACAGAGGCGAGGAGGCGAGCTGCTGCATGCAGGCCAGATCTTGTGTTGATACTGGCAACGTGCAGCGCGTAGCGCACCTATTAGTGTCCAGCCCACGCCGAGGCAATTAATCAGGCAACCGACACTGCCGGCGAGACGGAAGTGAAACCCGTGTGGCACCGTGGCGCGTCGTCAGGGGACGGAGGCTGCGAGTGCGAGACGATTTGTGTCCCCTCGCGTGCGTCGTGCGCGCGGTTGAGAAGGGGGCCCTTGCTGGCTGCTGCTGCTGTTGCAACAGCGAGCAGCCCCGCGTGCGCGATCACCGACAGGGGGATGCGCGGATCCAAGGCGCGGGAGGACAAATGCCGGGCGGCGAGGCGTACGCCTGCCTGTACGGGTGCGGCCGGCGACGAACCGCGCGCGTCTGCAGTGCAGCGGCAAATTATTTTAGCTAAATTATTTTAGCTGCCACGACAAACGTACTCCCTCCATCTCAAAAATATAAGTATTTTTAACTATGAATTTAGATAACTTTATATCCAGATTTATAATCAAAAGTTATTATATTTTGCGATGAAGGTGTTAGCATCAAGCATTCATTCGGTAGGTTCAGTTGCTTGTTGGACCGGGCTCGCTAACCGAAATAATAATGTGCATTGCTTGAAACAGCAAAATTTGAGTGGATTTTGAGTTGTAGGAAAAACAAGCGTCAAATATTGAGAATAGAAAGGCAAACATTGGTTCTGGCAGTGAGCTTTCTTTTTGTACGATCAGCTTCACCATTTTTCTGTAGGAGCTGGGGTATATAGGATGGATGACGAGGGATGGTTGACTGGTCAACTTCTTCGGTTGGAGCAGTACTAGGCATCAGTACGACCATAAATATAGTAACCCAACAAGCAACAGGTCCATGTGCAGTTTGTTCAGATTGCATAGTTTGAGAGTAGCAGCCAGCCAGCCAGCAAGCGTCCCAGTGTCAGCAACGTGAAGGTCCAGGAAAAACGGAATGGAACATGTACACAACAAAAGGACGTAGACAGAAAGGGCTAATTCCTGAACGTTCGTGCTTGTTGTTTTTCACCGTGTTCTACCTTTTCACTGATCGAAAATTATGCACTAGAAGTTTACAAACCAAAAGTTTGTACGTCCAACTTCGAGTTTGATTCAAATGTTGCTACATCAAAAGTTTCTACATGTAAATAAATTTTCTTGTAGAACAGAACTCACAATGAACCAAGCACACGTGAACCGAGAATATTTAACTATTTACCACTCTTAGATTTAGCGTTTAACTATTTGAAAATAATGTGTTTATGACATGCATGTTGCAAGTATAGTTAAGTACCACACTTAGAGCAGATACAATAGCAGACTATAATTCAACTATAACCACATATCGAGAAGAAAAGAGAAGAGAGAGAAGAAAGGGGGCTACAGATTTGTAGCCAGCTGCAACACGGACTCCGAAATGTTACGTGTGTATGAGAGGTGGGACCGAGTATTAATGGTGTAGTATATTTTTATAGTTAACTATTTTATGAATGAGCTATTAGATTAGCTATAGTTGATTTGGAGCCAGTAGTTAGCTATACTATCTAAGAGCAAGGCTAATAATACAGCCGACCTATTGTCTATAAGGTTCTTTGTAGTCCTCTCTTGGCCTACCCATATAATAGTTAGCTCTTTACAATTAATACATGATCCACTTGTCTCTCTCATAGTGTTTCTTGGTTCTTATGTCCAAGCCGGCTGTAAGTTTACAGCCCGCTTCTTCTCTCTCTCCTCTCTTTTCTCCTCAACTCAGCATTTAGCCGGTTTATAGCCTACTATTATACTTGCTCTTAAACTTGCTCACTCCCCGGCACACAAAACGAAGCAACGTTTAGCGCGAGATTAATTAAGTTGTAGCTTTTTTTAGAAAAAAGGATTAATATGATTTTTAAGCAACTTTTGTATATAATTTTTTTTTAAAAAAAACACACCGTTTAGCAGTTTGAAAAGTGTGCGCGCGGAAAACGAGGAGGGGAGTTGAGAACGGCGGGAACTAACGCAGGCTAAAAGTGCCAAATAGTTAAATATTCTCGTGAATTGAGCCTTTTGTGTCCTTGCAAAATCGTACAAGAACATATCCATCTCGAGGAACAGGAATATCGCCGAGGCCCATGAGTTTCAGCCGTTGGCAGTGGCGGCAAGGTCTAGGCTTATGGAAGTATACGACTTATGGATGAGTAGCCCAAATTGGTTGAACAGCCCATATAAGATGCATACGTGGAGATGACTGGGCCTGCTACGAACTGGGCCTTGTAAAAAGCTGGCCCTTTCTGAACATAACTTTTGGCCCACGTATATTTCCTATCCGCATATCTTTCCGGAATAAGTCTAATTTTCCATCCTGGAAATCTTATACTTGATCAAATCACATCCCTCATCCGTAAAACCGGGTATAATACCTCTCCCGACATAAAAAACCAATACAGATTGACTCCTTTAATGGTTTGTAAAGTAGTTTATGCTGACTTGGTCCAAGTATACTGTTGTGGCAGCCTAGGCACTAAAGGAATTGAAAATAGAAAGTCTCCCCACATATATGTGAGAAAGGGTAAAAAAATGGAGGGACCCACTTATTAGCCTCACAACTCCTCTCTTAGTCTTGACACGTCGCCCTGGTGTCGCAATCACCACAGAAGAGTGAGTGGTTGGTGGGCAGAAGCGGACGGTGATAGTGGGGACACGTAGCGCTTGTGATGATGATGGTCCTCGCTACCACGCGTGCCGCCCCGTCATCTTTCCCCCGAGGCTGTCCGCACAAATCTTGCCATGCTACGTGTCGCCGATGGCCGTCCACAACTTACAACGTTGAGCCTAGGGGCGCGGTGTGCATAGCACTATTGCCCGCTGTAGAAATAGGCACGAAGCGATGTGAGGTTCTTGTGATGGAGAGTGGTGATCGCGACTACCTTGTTGCGAAACTCCCGTTATGGAATAGGCGCCTAGCAGAGTTGCTTGACAACCATGATGTTGATGCCACCCTTGAGCCGCCAATCACCACCTGATGCATAATAACCCGCCCTCTAGAACCACAACCCGACCCTTCCGACAGCGCGGGACCACTTACGCATATCAACCCATTTGCACTTCATGATCACTTCGTGTAAAAGGTTAATTTGGGAATAATATGGTTGGAGGGATAAGTTGATTCACTATTGCTCAATTAGCAAGGTGATACTAATTTGAGCCTTGTTATTCTCTTGTCCCAACTTATGCGGGGTTTGAATTTGTCGAGTTGTACCAGTGCCCTAAACCTAAGTATTTTATTGATCAGGCACCACCCATATTTGAATTGGATTCAACTCGCTCTACTAGCAAGGTGCTACTAATCAAGTGCATAGAGGATTCATGGACCACACATGTCACATCCCAATTAGGCCGGTATGTCAAGTACATCTCTTGCAAAGGAGCCTACATTTCTGATGGTTCAACTTACCTACATAGCCACACAGGTATATATACAAATGTCCAGGAACGTGCCCCCTCTCAGCGGATGTTCGTGCGTCCAGCGTCGGCGCCATATGTCTCGCACAGAGGTCACATGCGCCATGCATCATATACTCATATGCTCGCACATTAACCCATATGCACAACCGCTAGGGTCGGCTATAATATCATTTGTAACAACCCTGTCCTCAACAACCACGTAGCCCAATCCATCTGACAGACAAGTCCCACTTACACATACCACCCCACTTACGCTTTCGTCATCGCTTCCTATAAAAGAGTTAATTCAGGAGTAATATGGTTGAAGAAATAAGCCTTTATAAGTTGGTTCCACTCTTGCTCAATTAGTAAGTAGATACTAATCAATTGCACACAACAGTCATGGGCCATATATGCCACATCCCAATTAGCCTAGGATGTCACATGATGCAGACGACCAACACCACAGCGAGAGCACTCCATTGAGCTCATGGTTAGTGACCATGACAGGTCATTGGCGAGCTGACTAGATGGGTTGCATCTATGGAGTATTTTTAAGTTCTCATCTCGAAAGACCAGAAAACAAAAGGATTTGAGACAAATTGACAAGAAAGAAGAGCAAACAAAGGCTCACGAGCTCGTGTTTAGCGTGACGCCCAGCGAGACTACCCATGTCGGCAAGGGAAGAGGGAAGTGAGGAGAGAGAGAGGGGTGACAAAGAAGATGGGATGAGGTGTAAATCATTAACATGTGGGACTCACCTACTGATTCAAGTATGTCAACCGTGATTAACCTATCAAGTTAGCATAATCCGCTTTCAAAAACCATCAAAAGAGATAATTTGTACCAATTTTCAAAAATTAATGAGACGTTATGGTAATTTTATGATTGAGGGAGACGATTTAATCAAAGAGTAAAAGATAAGGAAGAGGGAGACGGAACCTTTGCTTTCCTTGCTCATTTCGGGGCTAAGGGCAGTCCCAACCCTCCACCTAGGATGGTGTCTACAGTATTAACTACATTGTCATGTAGAACTTTTAGCTTATGTTGCACTATATTAATTAAGAGAGAGAGTGAAGAGAGGAAGAAACTGGGTCTCATGCAAGGCACAACTTCAACACGAGAACCTGTGCACTAGACTGGGAGAGAATAGTGTTTTCATAATAGATGAAGAATAAATATGATTGGTAGAGAAGAGAGATGATGTATTTATTAGTAGCCTACTTTAATAAACCATGGGTTATAGAGTGTAGTTTCTATTGTGATGTCTTATTAACATGGCATCATAGACACTGTTTATGGACGCTATGGGTTGGGACCGACCTAATTTGGCCTGATACACTTG